TCAAATGCTTGCAGGAGAAGCATTTGACAATTTTTAACACCTTTTCACCATATGAGGAAATAAACTCAACAAACTAGAACTTGAAGGCAACTTCCCTAATCCAATACAGGACTTCTGCCAAGAACCCACACAGCTAACGTCAGACTTAACGGTGAAGACTAAATTTTTTCCTCTWAGATCAGTGACAAGAATATCCAAATTTGCCACTCCTATTTAACATTGTACAGGAAATTCTAGGCAGGGAAATCAGGAAAATAAAACAAAACAAAACAAAACTCAACCAACCAATCAAACAAAAAGTCTTCCAGAATGGAAAAAAGAAATAGCAGAACTCTCTGCACTTATAGGTGACATGACAGTGCATCTGGAAAATCCTAGAAAATCCACTAAGAATAATACTAGGGCCAATAAACAAGTTTGGAATTTTTTTAGGATAAAACTTTAYGAGAAGTGAAACTGAAGTGGAGGAAACCATTTCATTTACAATGGAATAAAAAGAAGAATCTTAGAAATAATTTTAACAAAAGAAGTGCAAGACTTGTGCACTTAAGGCTACACAATATTGTTATAAAAACTGAATTAGAAAATTAAATAAATGAGAAGACATTCCATGTTCATGGATCAGAACCTTAAGTATTGTTAAGGTGACAATTTTCCCCAAATTGACCTATGTGCCTAGTACAATTCCTATTAAAATCCGAGCTCTCTCTTTATTTAATTTTTGCTGAAACTGAAAAGCTAGTTTTACAAATTTATATGGAAATATGAGAGACCTCACGCTGCCCAAATAATCTTGAAATAAAGAACAAAGCTGAAGGACTCATACTTCTTGATTTCAAACTTACTACAAAGTGACACATGGATCATGAGAATGGAATTAAAAGTCCAGAAATAAGTTTTTATATTTATGGTCAATTTAATTTTGTTAAGAGTTCTAGGACAATTCAATCATGAAAGAGTAGTCTTTTCCGTAAATGGCACAGGGGACAATTGGATATACGCATGCCATAGGGCAAAGCTGGACCTCTTCCTTACACCACATGCAAACATTAACTTGAAATGAATCACAGACCTAAATATAAATCTCTTAGAAGAAAACATGGGAGAACAAATCTTTGTGACTTTGGGTTGGGCAATAGTTTTTATTTTTTTTATTTTTTTATTTATTATTGGTCTTTCAAAATATTACATAGTTCTTAATACATCATATTACAAGGTTTGATACAAGTGGGTTATGAACTCCCACTTTTACCCCGTATACAGATTGCTGAATCACATCAGTTACCCTTCCATTGATTGACATATTGCCTTTCTAGTGTCTGATGTATTCTGCTGTCTGGGCAATAGTTTTTAAAATGCAATAATACCAAAGCACAATTGTTCAAAGAAGGAAATAAACTGGATTTCAACAAAATTAAAAATTTTGTGCTTAAACAAGTAAAATAAAGCTCCATAGAATGGGAGAAAATATTTGCAAATCTTATGTATGATAAAGACTTTTGATTCAGAATATATAAAGAACTCTACTACTCAACAATAGAAAGACAAATAACCAAAATTCTAAAGATGGACTAAGGATTTGGATAGATATTTCTCTAAAGAAGATATATAAATGTCCAATAAGCACATGAAAAGATAATCAAAACCATTTGGGAAATGCAAATCCAAACTATAAGGAGCTATACACTTGATACCCACTATGGTAGGTAAAAGATGAACAATAACAAGTGTTGAAGCTGTGGAGAAACTGGATTCACACTATCAATGGTGGGCATATAAAATTGTACAGCTGTTTTGGAAAACAGTTTTGAAGTTCCTCAAAAAGTTAAAACATAAAATTACCATATGATGCAGCAGTTCTACTCCTAGGTATATACCCAGGAGAATTGAAAATATTTTTAATGCTTTTATTATAATTGAAAACACTTGTGCACACACAAAGTTGTATGTGGATGGTCACAGTAACATCATTCATGATAATGAAAAGATGAAACAGCCCAAATGCCCATCAACAGATGAATGCATAAATAAGATGTAGTATAGCCATATAATGGAAGATTATCCAGCCACATGAAGAAAGTTCTGATACATGTTTTGACCTTGAAAAACTTTTGTGAGATGAAAGAAGCTAGTCATAGGAGAAGCACTTATTGTGTGATTCCATGTATATGAAATGTCCAGAATATATTAGACACAGAAAGTAAATTGATGGTTGACTAGGTCTAGGGAGATGGTGGGATTCAATAGGGAGTGATTGCCAGCATATATAGCATTTATTTGGGGGAAAATAATATTTTTTTCCAAATTTAGAATGTTGCATAGTTTTGTGAATATACTAAAATATTTTGAATTGCATACTTTATTTATTTATTTATGTTGTGGGGTTCTTGCTGTATTGCTCAGGCTAGCCTTGGACTTGTGATCCTCCTGCCTCAGCCTTCCTAGTAGTTGGGAATACAAGGGTGCACCACCATGGCTAGCTGAATTATACACTTTAAATGGGTGAATTGTATGGCGTATGAATTATATCTCAGCAAAACCTGTTGAAAATTTTGGGAGAACAGATAGAGTCTTGGTGAGTAGTAGCATGTCTCATTTGTATCTGTGGGATTTTAATTTATAGAGATAAGGGGACAAGAGGAGGCTAATACCACTGAAGGGGTATTTTTTTTTATCACATTTTATCACATTTCCTGAAAGAGACTCATTATACCATGCAGGGCCAAGTGGGAAAGTACTAGGTTTGGTCAGGAGGCAAAGGGAGCAAGGGGAAATCCAGGTCAGAGCCTTTCTCAAGGTTTTCATTCGGGAACACAAGGCAGGGCAGGGTAAGTAGACCAGGACTGCTTAATATGATTATTTCTGGTGAGCGTTGGGGCATCTGGACTGTCCCTATTTGTCTGGTACCTGACTGTGGGTTGACTTAGGGCAGGAGGAATACTGGGCTTGGTGTGTGAGAGCTCACCAAGGAGATGGGTGGACGTCTAGACTGGTTAGTTTGCACAGGAGAAGTGTGCTCTCAGGTGACCCCTTTCCTATCTGGAAGACCAACCTGGGAGCTTTGAGAGGGGCAGTCTCTCTCCCTATCCACAAGGTCATTAATGTCATTGCATCAAGAAAGCAGAAAACAAAACAAAAATAAAATAAAATGAAATAAAATTAAAAATTAAGAAACCCATAAAGCTCTAATAAAAATATTAAAAAAAAATTAGCTTAAAAAAGACAGTGTGGTCTGTATACCTACTGTGTGACACATGGGTACCAACAGAAAGTCTCAGATAACAGTGGGAGCTAGATTCCTACTTCTCATCTCATGGAATAAATAGGTCTCTAAAACTGATTAAATTTAGAAATGGCGACAAACGATCACTAGTATGAAACAGAAAAGTAACTCAGGAGGACTAAATTTAGAAATGGTCAAAAACAGTGCCTGGAAGAAAGGACTTGGTATGGGGAAGGTGGGAGCTGTTTTTGTTTTTTTGAAATTCAACTTTATTATTCATTCTTTAAAAATACTGTGAGCAGGTGTTACTTGATTCTTTTTAAGAAACTGTGAAAGTCCATATTTAGTTAGTGAATAAGGAATAGTAATTCATTCTTTCAATTATACAACTCATCCACTCTTTAGGACCAGGGTAGTTTTATCTCCCAAGGCATGTGCTGTATTTTCCTTTCATTACACAATGAATAAAAGACTGACTACTCAGGAAGTTGTATTACATAGTCTGCATTTTTGTTTTATAAAAACTCATCGGTCTTTATTTAACTCTGAAAAAAAATACAGTTTTGCTAGTTTTATAGTTTGTGTTAGTCATTCATTGGCTCACTCCTTCTTAAATCAGTGGCTCATGGTATCCTTGGGTTCTTCTTGCACAGATTCAACCAACCATGAATGAATATTTTAAAAAAATTGTGTCTGCACTAAACATGTACAGATTTTTCTTGTTGTTCCCTAAACAATGGAACAACTATTTCCATAGCATTGGGTATTATAAGTCATCTAGAGGGCTGAGGCTGTGGCTCAGAGATAGAGCGCCCCCTAGCAGGCGTGAGGCACTGGCTTCCATCCTCAGCACCACATAAAAGTAAAATAAAGATATTATGTCCACCTATAACTAAAAAATAAATATAAAAAAATAAGACCTCATCTAGAGGTCATTGAACGTATATGGGAGAAGGTGCATGGTTGTATGCATGCAAGTACTACATCATGTTATATAAAGKACTTGAGCATCCATGGTTTAGGTATCTGTTGGGGGTTCTGGAACCGATTCACTACAGGTACTATGGATGAGTGTGTGTGTTGGGGGGTGGGGCAGGGATTACACCCATGACATAAAAAACACAATACTAAGAACTAGAGATACCCAGGTTGAAAATAATACCCAAGGAGTGCTCACTCAGAGAGACAGAAGTCACCAGGCAATGACAATGTGGCATTCATAGAGATAGGGTGCTCTAGAGATACATGGGAGGGGAGCCTACAACCTCAGGAATCGAATAGGACTTCTTGGAGGTGATGATGTGAAAGTCAACCCAGCAGGATAATTAGACCTAGGCTAGGGAAGAGAATGTAGGAGGGGAAACAGCATATTTTGGAGAATGAAAAGTAATTGAGTTTGGTTCAATAATGTAGAGTGTAAAAGGAATAGGTAGGCAGAGGAACAGGCCCCTGAATATGTCCATTTGCTCATCTCTGGAACCCACACTTCACATAGCAAAAAGAACTCTACACATGTGAGTAAATTAAGGATTTCGAGATTCAGGAATTATCCTGGACTGTCTGGGTGGGCCCAGTGAAATTGGACCCTACACAGCACAGAGTGGGCCTCACTCTCTGATGATGTTCTCTGGTTTTGCTTCAACCATGACCTTGATTCTCTACTGTTTGCAAATGGAGAGTATTGCATAGTGAACCTTGAATCTGGGAAAGAGAACCCACAGACCCAAGAGTAAAGGGGGCTAGTGCAACGTTGGTTCCAAGAGGAGGTTTTCCTTACCTTGATTTTCCACATCTTTCAGTGGGTCCACCCCTGGGGACAGGATAAAAAACATTGGAGTGGCTGGTCCTGATTCTTCAAAGGAAGTTGCAAAATCTAGTGCTCTTCCCATGACGTATTTGCTTCCTAACTTCTCCTCAACAAAATCTCTGCCAGAAAGAAAGCATATACACATATAGTCTGAAAATAATAACATTTGAGAAATGGAAGCCTCTAGAAAAGAAAGAATATGCCCAAGATCGTGGATTAGGTAGCTATAGAGCTAGGACTGGCTATGAGTCCACAACTTGTCAACGCTTACAAAGTGTGCTGCTAGTGGTAGGACGGCTCATCTAGATCAGAGCTCCTTGTGTACTACTGTCCAACTAGGTCACTGCCAACTCCTGCCTGGCGCCCTCTCCATCCATAGGGTTGATTAGGATCAATGCCTTCTGAATACTTTCGGCAGCTAGACCACCATTCTCTAGATCCGTGCTATGTCCTGTTCCTGCCCAAGATTTAAAGCTCTATCAGATTATTTCTTTGCTCTCATCTTTTGTCATTCTCCGTTCTCTTTCCTCTCACTCCATTTAACAATACTTCCCCCTTCTAAAGTGGCCCATTTTGTGCTAAATAAATTCTCACAGCTGCAAATGTTTTATGACTATCTGGCCAAACTCCTGACCTTCACTGAGACTTCCCACTATCCCCCGAGGACATTACTTCTTCATGCAGCCTTCTCAACTGGGCTCATACTCCTGCACCTGAAGATTCTCAGTGACCAGGGTTCTGCTCCCTGTCCAATGCTATTTTGAAACCATTACCTTCCCATTATCGTGGTTCCAATGAGGCTCATTTTCCCTATCTCACCACTATCCATGCGCATCATTGTCATCTATTGCCTCATTTGGCCACTCTTCTCATTCACTGAACACTTGAGCCTTAGGCTTATGGACTTCCTCTCCTCTTAACTGGGTAACATCAATATCCATGTGGACAATCCTCTATCCACTAAGTGACCTCAATTTGAGTAATCTTTCATTTCCTCCCCTCTTCAGCTACCTAATTCCATGGCTACACCTTCATCCATGTCATTACTTGGAAACTTCTCTTAGGTCTGATGCCATAAAGGGAGCTATCCCTTTTTCTGACTAACACCGTCTATCCTTATAGTTCTTTTGGTAATGCACTTTTACTTCACCTATTCTTTGCCCTGGTGCCATTACAAATGCAGGAATTTCAGTATCCTAGCCTTTTGGTATTTTCCCCCCATACTGCCTTAATCTATTCATTTTCCTATCCAGAACAGACTCCGTAACCTATAATTTCTTTTAAAAAAATAATTTCATTGATGTATAATCAATATACCCTACAATTCACTCATTTTAAGTATATTTTCAATGTTTTTAAAGTAAATTTATCAAATTGCACAATCTTCACCATAATCTAGTGTTTGAACTCGATTTTCATCACACTATAGATTCCTTATAATTGATTCCAATTCTCATGCCCTCATCCTCAGCAACCACTAATCTGCTTTCTGCCTCTGCAAAATACATGGCCTATGACTCCTAGTCATTTTCTTGCCAACATCCTTACCTTCCTTGCCTAATTCTTATTTCAACACACCAATTTGAGATGATCTGAGCTCTGGATCAATATAGCTCCAAATCCTGGGATTCTGGAGAAAATTATCCAATGGTGAAGACAGGTGTCACTACAAGTGCAAGATCTTATCCAGTAACCAGGCCCCTCGACGCTACTTGGAGCTCCCTGGTCAGCCTTCTCTCCCATTTTTCACAGATCTGTTTTCCAACATTCTTCACTCTCTTCAAATATTCAACCTTGCCCCTCTCCCTTTCACACAAATTCAACTGATGGTCTTCCCACTCTTCAGAGAAATTAGAAGCCAGCAGATCAAAATTATCCTCAATTTTCTGCCATTCATTTATTACATGACTTAAAGCTATAACCATCTTTCTTTCCATTTCAAAAAAAAAAACATGTGATGAAAGAGATGTTTTTTCTTGCTAAGGATGAACTCTCTGTCTTTTGGAATTTTGGTTGTTGATAAAAAGGATCTTATTACCATACACACATGGCCTTGAGGCTTAACCGCTATGGTTTATATTATTAATATCCCCCTAAAAGCTCATGTGTTAGGCAATGCAGGGATGTTCAGAGGTGAAATGACTAGATGATGGGCTCTGTAACCTCACTAGTAGATTAGTCTGCTTGACGGATTAATAATTTGAATAGATTGCTGGGTGGTAACTGTAGGCAGCTGAGGTGTGACTGGGAGAAATAGGTCACTGGGGACATGGCCTGGACTATACCTGTTCCTGGCCCCTCTGCCCCACCCCTCTTCTTCCTGGCTGCCATGACTTGAGCAGATTTTCTTTTCCATGCCCTTCCGCCATAATGTTCTGTCTCTGGCCTAGAGCAATGGAGTCAGCCAACCATAGACTGAACATCAGAAACTGTGAACCAACATAAATTTTCTTCCTCTAAAATCGTTCTTGTCAGATAATTTGATCATAGCAGTGAAAAGCTGGATAACACTTTAGCCTTGCCGTCGTCCTGAGACTGTCTTTTGGAGTGCCCGTCCCAGGCCTCCCACCATCCCATGTTCTCTACCTCATGGCGTAGGTCATCCGGTCAGGCCGCATGGCCCTCATCATGCAGAGGCGCTGAAGGGCTGTCTTGTTCTTCCACTCCTGGGGGAACTTCTCCTTCTCGGGACATTCTGACTCCACAAACTTCTTCCAGCTCTTGGCAGATCCTTCAATGTCTCGATCCAGATTAGAGAATTCTTCCATTGATGAAAGGGCCTGGGAAATTGCAAAGAATCTTGCTCCAAAATGCAGTCTCTAAAAAGCTGTAATTTGTGTTGCGTTGGAGGTTGAAAGGAAAGTGTGGTATTATAKACACAACTCTGTCTCATGTATAGTCTGTTTGGAGTCTTGGATCTTCCTCCAGGAAAAAAAAAAATCAAAGAAGAGGGAGGATTCTGACCAGTTCACCCTCAGCAGACTGCTCCCARTAATATGCAAAATTATCAAATGACCAGTTTAGGAGACTGTAGACAGCAGAGACTGAGCCATACTCACTTGCATGATATCACATGGAAAAGAGGGGCACAGWGGGGTACCATTATCATTCTGGTTATGGTACATGGACACCTAAGTCATAGGCTTCTTCTTTCCATCTGCACACCCACTCTGCCACCAAATCCTGTCAATTCATCTCTCAAAATATCTCATTGACTTTGTATTAATGCCAACTATTAAAATTTCCATGAGTTGTCTATTTCTGTGTGGATTAAGTCTATTTGGACATAGCTAAGTAATGAAATCTTTTCATGTATTTCTTCCCCCCAGTTCATCCAGTTTACCAGGTATGCTGCTGTGTTCTACCTTGTCTCAGCTTACCAGTCTCCTACCTGGAAGTATGCCTGACTCGTTCCCCACCCAGTTCCTTGTTTGCACTACTTCTACCACGTGCAAGTGGTCTTCTCCACTAAATTTTACTCCTTGCTTTTCTTGTGCTGGTCATGCTTTCTATTYATTAAGGTTCTCTGAGTTGTCAAGGGCCAGTTCAAAGTCAGCGACTTTCCCCAGGCACAGACTCTATAACGTAGAACATGTAGTCCTTCCCCTGGGGTGGAGCACATAGAGCTACTCACAGAGTTGGAAACTTTACTAAACCTTCAATCAGTTTCAGATGTTTGGTTAAGCCATATCCCTCCTTCTTCCTCTTCTGCTCACATCTGGGCAAGCTGATCACTAAGCCTGGCCATTTCCTCCTTAGATGCAGGAAGGATGTTGTACCAGGTAAGCCCCTGCCTGTGCCCAGGAGCAGCCGCTCCGGACTCACCCCCTAACTACCATAAGTACCCAAGGTGGTTTCTTTTCCTGGCTCTCTCAAGCCATTTTTAGAATGCTTGGGATCACCCTTGCTTTTGCATACCATGTATACCACATTATTGGAATAATCAACTTTTACATACCCTTTTGGTATGTGTGCGTCTTCATCAGTCTTGACACAGGAGCTACATTTTGGATGGATGAGTGTCTATCCTGTTTATCCAGAGTGCCCACCAACACCACTAGCCTAGATACTTACTGACCTGTAGTCCCTCCATCATTGTTCAACTCTGTTGATGTGTTTGATTTCTCCAAAGCTAGACCTCATGTTTAAAGCAGCTATGACAGTGCCATGAATTTTGTAAAAAAAMCCAATACATTCTTGTTATTTGAATCCCTTCATTCATTGACTCATTCATCATTCTTTTAACATTTATTGCATGCCTACTACTTCCTAGGGACTTGGAATCACAAAAGTGAACAAAAAGACATGGACTTTCAAGGAGCTTACAAGCCTAAATTGAGGAGGAAGGAGATGAGTATGGTCTTGGGAGATGTATAGAGTTCTGTCAGGTAGAGATGGAAGGGAAGGGCATTTTATGAGAAGGATCAATAAGAGCCAGTCTGGAAGGTAGGGCATGGCAGAAAACAGTGTGGTTGCAGGATAAGAATCTGGTGAGAAGGGCAAGGTGAAGCTTCAGAAGGACCCATCCACTTGMCCTGGACTTGCCTATTCTTTTCCTCCAGGGGGATGAACATAGATCCTTTCACAGGTACTCTGCGACTTCCCARTTTCATGCTGACCACTTACAGCAGGGAAGACCACATCTTCATTCATGCTGAGAAGCAGTGAATGAGACAGTGGAGGAATCTCAGATAGACAAGATTTCTGGTRATGAGCCACGGGACTTGGAGACTGGTTTTATACCTTCATGAGTTTTGGATTTTTCATCTGGAAAGTGAGGCCGAGTAATCACCTGCCGCTTCTCTTACTCTCAAGTAGATGCAAAGTTTTGAAAACTATAAAGTCCTCCCTGGTCCTTCCTTGGGGGCTGGATAGCTATTGAATTGCAATTACCGGTTTACTTATCTGTTACTCCCACAAGATTGTGAGCTCCCGGTGGGCAAGAAATTTCTAAGGCATGGCCTGGCACTTTKCGAGTGTTCAATTAATAAAGTTTGACATCTGGGTGGCCAGCAGGAGGGCTCTTGATGGACTGAGAAAAGCTGCAGCTGCTGTAATTATTTCTGTCTGTGCTGGGGAACCAACTTTCATCTTCTTCCAGATAGCCACTCACCTCCTCTCCCCAGCTTACATCATCATTAACCCTTCTGCAGGCCAATTACCTCCCCCAACATCTCCATAAAAAGGAGAAAACTACACTGTGATCAGCACTCCCAGCTGCCAAGGACTGGGTCTGAAGCACAGTTTCTTGAAGCTCTGGAGTGAACACAATTGCAACGTTTAATCTCCCAAATGAGGGAAAGGGATTTCTAGCCTTCTAATAAGCTAAATGGAAATGACTAATTAACCTAATTACTTTGGACTGCATWGCAAAATACAACTGAGCTAAACTGGCAACCAGAGTGGTAGTGAGAGGCCTTTTCAAAGGTTAACAAAGAAATTCATCACAGATGAGATTTCCTAATGAAGAGAACACATTCCTATTACCTTACAGTTCAGCATTTGATGGGATTGAAAAAATCCTTCCAAAGGATAATAATAAAAGCAGGATTTTATCAGAAAGATTTCATCCATTTCCTGCTTATTAGTTCTTCTGGGGAAACAAGACAATCAACCTTCCTCATTAGATAGAATGCTTTAGATTTTTTTTTAATATTTATTTTTTTAGTTGTAATTGGACGCATGCCTTTATTTTATTTATTTTTATGTTGTGCTGAGGATTGAACCCAGGGCCTTGCACATGCTAGGTGAGCCACAACCCCAGCCTCTAAAWTTTTTTTAAGATCATGTCCTATTTAATTATATTATTTTGTTGCTTTAGGCTAAAATCCAACCGAATATTTTAAAAGAGTATTTATCAAAGATCATGTATACCACATATCACATTGTCCCTCACCTGTGTGCATCTATGACTGCGCTTGAGTTTTGAAGGATCTGGACTTTGCTGCTTCCCTCAACAAGCTCATATAGAAAGATAAAGCTTTGCTCATTTGCAAAAGACTTTGAACAGCCAGATGAGCCCCGCCCACAAAACAAAATGAAGAGCAGAAGGAAGCCAAGCCAAGCCAAGCCAACCAAACAACTCATTTTGTGAAAAGAGGAATGGAATGAAATTGCACAATAGCTTTTGAGTTGAGCTATGTAAAATGAATGCCTGTGAATCACTTATTCTTCTTGACTTTTACTGCAGAGGGCTTTGTGTGATAATATAGAGAAAGGAAACTGGACTAGGCCCAACTGGGCAACTTAGAGTTCCTGAAAGTTTTTCTTTCTATGGACAAATTCTATCAAGCTCAACTGGTATCAATGACAGTGCTTATGTGTCTTACAGGGTAATAAAGAATCATAATTGTTATAGGATAAATCGTGTCCATCAAAAAAGATATATTGAAGAACTAGCCTCCCAGACTGTGAACCTGACTTTATTTAGAAACAGAATCTTTGTGTCGATGTAATTAATTTAAGATGAGGATATAAGGGTAGGCCTYATATATTCAGTATGACCGGTGCCCTTGTAACAAGAGGAAAAAAAAAACCGCAAAGAGGAAACCAATTTTCATCTTCATCCTGTGAAGATGGTGGAGTCACAGACTGAGATTGGATTTATGGTGCCTCAAATCAAGGCACCATCATCTGCTTCCACTTACTGCACATTAATGCAGTCTGACAACCCTCGACAAAGGTGCTAGGTAGGATGGCCATTTTGCAGATAAGGATCCGAAGGCTCAGAGTGTTAAGGTAGAAGATAGGGCACATGGAAGGAACCATCTCTTAGGGTTCTCAGCTCCACCTAGGCCCTCACCGCACTGTACCTTAAGCCCCTTCTTGTGAAGGAAAACATGGCCATCTTATGGTTAAAGTGAGAAAGCTAGATGACCACAAAGGGAATTCAAGAATTCTCACGAAGGGAACGCTCTCAGTCTCAGGTATGTGCAATAGCCCAAAAGACCGACCTAAAGTTAACTTGTTGCTGTTGAACCTATCATTAGCATTGTGGTTTGCTCCCCTTCTRTGCATTTTCTGAGGGAAAAAGAAACATACATGGGCAGTAGAAAAGAAATTATATAAAATTCAGCTGTCATTCAAGTGCCAATCAACCTCAGATCCAGCTAAGGGAGAAGGGGAGAATAAAAGTGAGGCCTATGGTGTAGACAGAGCCTTGAGCCACTCTACCCTGTACCCACTCTACCCTCCACCCAATCTACCCTCCCAATGTGTTACTTTCACTTTCAATAAGCCTCTGCCTTTCCTGCCAACCTCCTGGGTCTCCTTCAATTCTTTGCTTGGGAGGAGGAGAACCCTGACTCAGGACCCCCTGGAAACCCCTGCCCTTGCCCTGGCAACAAGAGGACTAAGACAACATACAAGAGGCCATTTGCACACACAGACTTGAAAGGGAACCCTGGTATATCTGATTCCAGAGCCTGTGTTGACAAATCCATTTCTCTCATTGTTCTAGTTCTGCAGATGGGCTCGTTCAAAATTGCTTTTCAGAACCTATTTTTTCATAAAATAATCAGACTATGAGTTGTTATTCTCAAGGTCTAGGATCATATTGTCCAAAAGGTAACCACTGGCCATGGGTGACCATTGGGCACTTGAAGTGTGGTTATTGTGACAGAAGGACTGATTTTTTTATTTTTTTATTTTTATTTTTTTTTCTCTTTTTTTATTGGTTGTTCAAAACATTACATAGTTCTTGATATATCATATTTCACACTTTGATTCAAGTGGGTTATGAACTCCCATTTTTACCCCGTATACAGATTGCAGAATCACATCAGTTACACATCCACTGATTTACATATTGCCATACTAGTGACTGTTGTATTCTGCTGCCTTTCCTATCCTCTACTATCCCAGGACTGATTTTTTAAAAAATCTAAGATAGTCTTGTCACATGAGCCAGACTGTCCTTGACCTCCTAGGCTCAAGTGATCCTCCTGCCTCAGCTTCCCTAGAAGTTGGGACCACAGGTGCATGAGGCCATGCCCTGAATTTTTAATTCTATTTCATGTTAATGCCTTTAAAATTGAAGTGTAGAAACTGGAACTTATTTTAGTCATAGGAAAACTTTTAAAGATGTTTAAGTTGACTTGGGTATAGGAACCCATTGTTTCAACTCTTAACTTTTATGAAGTTGAAATACAAGTGTTTTGAATGAATATTTAACTTCTAAATTGAGATGAGCTTTATGTATAAAAATTACACATCGGATGTCAAAGACTTAGCAAAAAATATAAAATTGTTTTCTAATTGACAGTTTGGATCCTAAATGTCCCCCCAAAGTTTGTGTGATTAAAAAAAAAAGGCTTGGCCACTAGCCTGTGGCACTATTGGGTGGTAGTGGGAACTTCAGGGGGTGGTAGAAGGAAGTTAAGTCATTGGGGGTGTGCCTCTGAAGGACATTTTGGGACCCTGGTCTCTGCCCTCTCTCTCTCTCTCTCTCTCTCTCTCTCTCTCTCTCTCTCTCTCTCTCTCGCTCTTTGGTTGCCATGAGATGAACAGCTTTCTTCTGCTATTCACTTTTGCCATGTTTTTCTGCCTCACTAAATGCCCAGAGCATCAGTGTCAAGCAATCATGAACTGAAACCTCTGAAACTGTGAGCCAAAATAAACATTTTCTCCTTTTAAGTGGTTTATTCCAGATATTTTGTCACAGTAATGGAAAGCAAACACAATCATTTTATAAAAGCTGCGCACGGAAATGATAATATTTTGGCTGTACCGGGTCAAAGAAAATATTTTACTTATTTTATTAAAACTTATTCCATTCATTTCTTTTTACATTTCTTCATGTGGGTAATAAAAAAAAATTAAAATTACAAATGTGGCTTGCATTACATTTCTTTTGGACAGTGCTACCCTAGAATAAATACACTCTAAAAGTGTTATCTATTTTTTTCATATTCTGTGTGGTAGAAAAGTTGATGGTTTTCCCAGATATCTGCATTTATTAYARTTATTCTTTAAAGGTTTTGTAAGTTTGTGGTTTTGGTTGCTGTTGTGAAGGAAATCCTCCTTTGTTTCTTTCCCATCGTATTATTTCCCTTTTCATTCACCAGATTGGGCTCAGGATGATGAATGAAGTTAAATAAAAATTAAATTCCACCTTTATTATTTAAATCAAGGATCAGCAAACTATAACTTTCAGGCTCAATCTGGCCCACCACCTGTTTTGTCAAATAAAATTTTACGGGAACTCAGCCATGTCCATTCATTTCCACACTGTGTGTGTCTTTGGCACGGTTGAGTGGTTCCCTCAATATTTACTATGTGGTCCCTCATGAAAAGTTTGATGATTCCTGATTTTTATAGAGTCCTAAGGTTGATTGAAAGGATAAGCTATAGACTCTGAAAAAGAAGTTAGGAAAGGATTTTGAGCAATGGTAGCATTAGTGGAATTAGCCTAGAATTTCTTAAGACGACTCCTTTGAAAGAGGAAAGCCTGCACATAAATGATTTATTTCGGGGCTTTTGTTATAAAGTAAATCAGCTTGGATGGATCTCAAGGGAATTATGCTAAGTGAACAAGCCCATTCCAAAAAGTTATGTGCCATATGTTTCCATTCAAATAACATCCTTGAGATGACAAATGTTATATAAATGGAGAGCTGATTCGTGGTTGGTTGGTAGCAGGAACTGGGTAAGGAAGGAGGACACTGTGACTATAAAAGGCCAACATGAGGAAGCTCTGTAAAATGGAGCTTTCTGGGTCTTGACTGTGGTGGTGATTACATGACTCTACACATGTCCTCTAACTAAACACACACAAGCACACACACACACACACACACACACACACACGAATTTCTGTAAAACTGGTGAAATCAGACTAAGATTGGTGGATCATGTCAATGTTAATTTCCTGGATATGTGACTGTATATAGTATTACAAGATGTTATCATTGCAGGAAGCTGGGTGCAAGGGATATATCTGTATTATGTCTTACAATTGCCTGTGAATCCACAATTACTTAAAAAAATCCGAGTAAGATATATAAAGAGAAAGAAAACCAATCCCATTGCTGTAGACTCATAATTCTTTGTGAATCAAGTCTCCGTAAAAATGCAACAGATATGGAAGATCATAAGTAGGATTCATCTTATGCAGATGCCATTCCATAGGTGACTCATCCGGTAGGGACTGGACTCTCTGGAGTTGGGATTCACTCAGTTGTCCTTTCCTGCAGGCATCATGTCAGGTTTTCTTAATGTAGGCACAGTGCCTACTGATAGGACTTTATTKATTCTTTTCAACATTTATAAAATCCCAATTAAGCTGCACAATATGGAATGAAAATGGGCTTGGCCCCCAGCCAGGCCAAAATGTGAGTTCTGAATTTGCCACTARTAAGAAGTGGGACCCTCAATTTCCTCAAATGTTAAATGGAAACCCATAACACCTATTGCCAAGACGGACAAGGCAGTGAAATGAGACCTTGCCTTTCTGAGGCACTCAATAAGCATGAGTTCTTGTCACTGCCAGCGTCCCAGGTTGGAATGCATTCCCTGCTTGGAGTCTGAGTTCAGATTCATATGGAGATGTCTGCTTTTTTAGAAATGCTACTGCAGCAGCAGCTCCACATCAGTCCCAGGGACTCACCACAGAGCCCGTATTCCAGTCCTGAACCTTGGTAGATGAAGGCAGCTCAGAGAAGTTTATAGGGACTTAAGGTTCCTTTCTCCCCTGGAGACAGAGCCCTCACACACCAAAATGCATGCTCAGAAGGTTGAGCCTGCTGTGGGTGTACAGGAAAAGGGACACCGCTCTATGCTTGAACTCAAAAATTGAGAGTCTCGTTGACACCGTAGGGACAAGCGTCTGGAGGAAACTAAGAGATGAGAACTTGACTTTTTCACAGGAAGCAGTACTGACCTTGACACCTCCCCAGGCCTGATGGGAGAGGAACTCCACTGGGCTAGGGGTGCCTGTCTGTGCTGGAGATCGAAGCAGGAAATCCAATTCTGCTGCACTGATTTCCTGGTTCATGAGGAGGATCTGCAAAGGAGGGAACATGACACCATATTTCTTTAGCTTGTGGTGGCCTCAAGTTCAGGGGATCTTAGGGATTGTCACTCAGCGTAATTATTGCTGCCTCTGACACTAGAGCTTGCCCATCAATTTTGGTTATTTAGAGAGGATGGAGTGGAAGAAAGTGTATATTTATGCAAATTAYTCCTATGTGCATCTGTTTTCAACCCCAATATCACAGTGACTTAAATATACCCGGTGGATGACTATATATCTTGGTTAGCAGGCATTTATTATRTATCAATCATAAATGCCACGGAGTATGTGCCTGAAATTTAATTGAGCAGATGACACATACAAATGACATGATTTGAGGAAAGTGCCAAAGTGACATATGAACACACGCAAAATAGAAACACACATATGAATCAACAATGTGAATTTATGCAAAATAGAAGCACATATGTGAATTAAAAATAGGAGAGAGGTCCCTGAACAAGGGAGTGGCCAGCAAGCCAGAGGAAGGAAGGGTTTAAATTGACTAAATTTTCTATAAGTAGTTCCCCCCCCTCTGCCCCGGCCTCCGCCCCCAGTACTGGGGAATAAACCAAAGGCCTTGTATTTACCAGGCTAGCATTCTATCACTGAGCCACATCCTCAGCCCTCTTTAAGTCAGTTTGAATTAGGTCTTGAAAAGCTAAGAGAATGGGAATATTGAACAGGAAGGTAGGACTTTCAGATGGGGGGGAAAATGAAAAATGCAGAGGTTTGGAAGGGAATTACAACAGTGTGTGCAGGAGGGGAAAAGCTTTTGGCTTGGTTAGAGACATGATTTTCAGTGAGAGGTGGAACCCCTGTATTTTCTAAGGCCAAGCTATCATTTAGGCTGGCCTGGGAATTACAGAACGTGTGAGGACTAAGGGATGCTCACATCTATAGAGCTGGATTTTGGAACATGGAGTCAACACAAAAATGATACAATATCTGACTTTTGGAATTGGAAGTGGCCTTTGAGATAGTCTAGTCTGTGCTACCAAGGTATATATTGAAAAAAAAATCCCAATTCTAAATGATTAGGGGGATAAGTGAAAGGAAGTAAATTTTAAATGACTTTTTGATACTGAAATTAAATGGAAGACCAGGGTTTCTCATTCAAGATGCAGCAATATTAGAAGTCTCCAATTTTCCCAGGCCTTTAAGAACCAAAGTTGTTGAAAATTTTCTAAGGCCATGGTTGCTACAATGTCTTGTGTGATTTCTTAACCCAGGAGAAGGTGAGGTCAGTAAACTTATTATCTAGATAAATATTGATGGAACAAAACTTCTGATGGCATTGGAAAAATCTTCTAGTTTTCAGTATGGCCCTCTAGTTCCATCTTCAATGCCAGTTTGGATGGACTAGTAGTGGCTGCTGGAGGGATATTTTTTAGAAGGATCAGAGCTCATCCAGGATCAGCAAGAAAAAGTACCATGATTGATTCAGCATATCTGTCACGAGGGGGACCATGTGGKGGCAGCATGCATGTATCCTATTGGAACTTCTTTGGAAAGTGATGTTAGAAGAAGAAAGTTTTAGGGCTGTGGCATGACTTAATGGTAGAGCACTAACTTAGTTCCTGGGTTCTATCCCCAGCTAGTGGGAGAAAAAAAAAAAAAAGAAAAAGAAAAGAAAATTTCTTAAGATCTGATGACTGGGCACTAAAAATGACCCATCTTCTAGAAATTATTTTTTTCKTTTTACTTTTACCTGAAAGGTGAGTTGGGCAAGGTAGGTCAACTTATCGCACTCGAAGAGTCCGCGGGTCGTATACTGGTACACAGAAAAGGTTATGTTGTCTATTAGATTGGTGACCCGCTCCTTGAGGCTCTCACCAGGAGCGGCTTTCTCTACAGCCTTCTGGAAGACGATCCGGAAGGCCTGAGGACAGAAGGGTGGCATCTTGGTGACTTACATGGACCTCCTTTTATTATATGAGTGGTCATTTTTCCAGCCCACCCGGTGAAAAGTGATCCCAGTATATCTGGGGAAGACAAGAAGAGACCATGGTAACAAGAGAAGATGCTTTAGCTCTTAGTTTGCTCAGATGAACAATTAGATCGCTATGGGGCTGCCACTGTTTGGATGTAGTTTGTGCCTTTTAAAAGTCATATTGGATTTTAATCCCTAGTGTGAGGTATTAGGAGAGTGGAAGCTTAATGTGATTATGGAATAAGAGAGAGGGAATTTGGGAGGAAGGTAAAACTGGATAAGATCATCAGGGTGGAACTCCTAAAATTGAATAGAGATTTTTTTTGTGTGTGTGTGCGGGGAGGGTAGTACCAGGGATTGAACTCATGGGTTACTCGGCCACTGAGTCACATCCCCAATCCATAATTCTGTAATTTATTTAGAGACAGGGTCTCCCTTGTTAGTGCCTTGCTTTTGCTGAGGCTGGCTTTGAACTCGTGATCTTCCTGTCTCAGCCTCCTCAGATGCTGGGATTACAGGAGTGTGCCCCTGCACCCCTGAGTGGTGGATTTATAAGGAGAGAGACCAGGAAACACACATGCCTTGCCCCACTTCAATAAGGACTGMCAGCAATAAGGCCATCACCAGATGTGGCCTCTTGACCTTGGACTAAGAACGGTGAACAGAAATAAAACTCTTTTCTTTATAACTTTAAAACTTCCCCAATCTGTGATGATATTGTTCTTTTAGTAAAAGAAAAGGATCAAATACAAGGACATACAGAGAAGAGCCCAAGGCTTTGATCAGTGAAGAACAAACATCCAGTAGTCAATATACTTTAAATTCAGTAAGTTTTTGTGGGATAACTACCTGAATAGAAAGTAGTCCACAGCTGGGATTAATGATRCTCTACAGCATGGGATAAAATTCTTGGGGGCAGAAACAATCCTCCGTACAACTTTGTTGAACTGACCCTTGCACATAACAGGCAGTGAGAATATTTTTAGTTAATGATTTTTCCTTTGATAATGATCAGAGTCTCAGATATTATTTGTTCTTTTCCTATTAATTTTGCAGTCATTTGAAGAGTCCTTGAAARTGTCCTTTTTCCCTTATGAACCCTTCTGCAATGGTGGGAGTACAGCCAGCTTTGGGTTCTTCTTTAGAACTATATATTGTGGGTATGATGGGCAGTAAAAAAAAAATCACATAAGTTAATTTTCTCTTGTTTTAAACTTAAATAATGACTACTCATAAAAAATGAATATTTGGAATGCTACCCTTTAAGTGTGACATGAATAGAACAAATCCTTAAAGAAAATAAAAGCCAAGATACAATTGGACCTTTTAGATTCTTGGTTCTGCAGATTTCTAGTTTCTTCTCTATTTTCCTTTTGTGGCTTTARGAAGAAGGAAAAAGAAGAAAAAAAGCTAAAGTCTTTTTGAGACCAAGTATTTGAACCTAGATGGAAACCACATAAGATTTGAGTCTCAGTAGTTCTTCATTTGCAAAATCGGAAAAAAATGTGAATTTCTCTCTCCATTCACAGATCCACATTTCTTCTGGTTAACAAAGCCCTTGGAGTCTTCATCTCAGCAAAATCTTCAACCCAATCCATTGTGATGTATGCCTTCACTTGGTGGATTTTAGGTGAAATACTAGTTGACTATGAGCTGATGAAACAATAGCTCTCTAGAACCACACAGAGCAATTTGAGAAGCTTCCATGTGCAGAATAGGTCCATGGAGATGGATGGATATCTTTTCCAGGTGGTTACTATAGCTTTCTTCTAAGGCTCTATCAAAATAACAGTAATCAGCAACGAATCTCGAGTTACTAAGTTTAAATAAAATGATTCCCAATTCAGGAAAAGAATTAAAGAAAATGAAAAATCTGGATATATCCAGGATTTTCTTTATACTGAGCTCATTTGACTTCTTTTTTTTCCAACTTATAAAGAACTTCCCTGTTTCTTTCCCTTTGTGGTTTTGAACAACGCTGGTGCTGGGCCTGATCCTCACTCCCACAGCTTTCTCCAGARGGTCTGTTCTGCCCACATGGTCTGGTTATTGACTTACGCTCCCCTGGTAGATACTCACAAGTTTTTGGAACATTTTTAGGGACCATGAGTGATTGCCTAGTGTTTTGTCTTTCTACTTGAATAAAAATAGTTGCATTTCTCAAAATCGAGTCGAGCTCTGTGCATATTATAGGACCGAAAAAGAATGGTTGAATGAATGAATCACTTTGCTCTGCTAATGCCCAAGAGAATGAAAGATGCTCTAGATCAAGACTGTCCAACTCAAATGCCTCCAGGAACCAGGTATACAAGACCAAATAGGGAGGAGGAAGACTACCAGGACACAGAGGGCATGTGCCCACCTAGGGAGAAGCAGCTACAAATTCATGCCATGTGGAATGTGAATACAATGTTGTCAATCTTCCCAATTTTCACGAGAAGCACCAAATCGGTGTTTATGTGAATTCTCTTTATATTATTATAATATTATTTGTGGTGCTGGAGATGGAACCCAAGTCTGATGCATCTAGGTAAGCCCTCTACCACTGAGGTATACCTTCAGACTAATTCTCCTTATTTTAAAATATTGGTAACCTATTCATGTATTTGAAAAGCCTTCTGTGGACCAAAGAGAAGAGATCAACAAGACCTTGGGTTCCCTGTTTGAAACCCATGATCTGTATTCATCTTGCTTCTGTCTATCTGATGATCCCTTTCCCATCTCATGGAGAAATGGTATTCCTCCAGTCATGCCTTTCTATAGAATGCACACAGCAGCTACGCTGGGCCTCCCATCAGTATGCAGGAGATCTTAGGGAGGTGGCCTCTCACCTATGGCACTGTGGTGTCTTCTATGTATGTCTCCCAGCTTTTGGTTGAGTTTTGAAGAAAAAGTTACTTTGCTTTCATTCCCATCTTAACCACATGTTGAACTTCAAGTTCATTCAAAACTTGCATTTGGATGAATTTCTGCTTGTGTAAAAGCAAGTACAAACATTTTAACGCATTCTTGCTCAAAACACTTTGAAAGATGGGACATGTGGCTCCTGGCACATTGGTCTCTCTGGGGTTTTCATACTCTGAGAATGTCCCTCCTTTGTGTGCCAGAAATGAGAACTGCAAAATTGATCCTCATATGAAAATCGAATCTGTAGAAACTCCAGTAGCTAGCTTTTTAAAAATCAAATCACAGGAGACTTTCAAATGCATTGTTCTTTTGAAGACCCATCCCATAGCTATTTATCATTCAGAATTTCCATCTGTTTTCAATGATCTAGTTGATCAATGAAAGGCGGTTGTCCTTGGCAATTCTTCATAACAACATGGAGACCCAAAGTGCACCTCTTTCTTTTTTTAAAAGTAGTGCTTCAGAGTTTCCTAGATCAGGATGCTGTTGCTGCAGAGTAACTGACAACATGTTTTAGCCCATATTTTCATGAATTTCATCTCAGATCTTGTTTTCCAACACACCATGATAGTCAACTTCAATTACTCTTGGAACTAGGGAGATGACCCTGTGGTTAATAGGCTTATGCTAACTTTTATATCTGTTTTTGAAATATCTTATATTTCTTTCATATGTTTTCATAATCTGACTAAAAGGCCAAGGATCGGGTTTCTCTTAAAAASATAAAATATTATAACCACATGTCTTCCAATCTGCAGAGACTTTGAGTTAAGGGGAAAGGATTGGGAAATGGTGAAAAGCCCTCTCCAATTAAATGAGCCCCAGGTACTGGGGGGTCTTCTGATTTCTCAGGTATTCATAACCATATCCACACCTTGACCTCCACATGATGACTTAGCATGTAATACACATACTGAGGTGTGTGTGTGTGTGTGTGTGTGTGTGTGTGTGTGTGTGTGAGAAATCTCTCTGTCCATATACATATGTTCTCTCTGTCTCTCTCCTATTTGTACATGTGCATGTCCTCTCTGTTGGGTCAAACCAATGAAGTTGCTCAGAAACGTTTGATCTCCTTTTAATGCTTCTTTAATTGTGGTCATTTAATGAATTCACTAGGGGAGAATGATAGTTTCCGAGGTTCACTTAAAATTTATGGGTTTTATTTTTTCATGGGTAAGATGAGTTTAGTCAGCACTTGAAATTTGCTAACAACTTTGGCTTCAGGAATATTGCAACAACCATAAAACAGTTGCTTTGGGGGATATTAAAGTAATAAGAAAAGTAATTTAAAGTTGACTGTTATGATGGCCTGCACTGGTCTTTCATCAATACAAGTGATGTGCACATTCAATCATCTCTGGGGACAGGAATAATTTCTGACATTTCTCTGATATCCTCATTCACACATCCAACATGCACACATCCAGTATCCACCCATACTGAATTTGCTTATGGAATGAATGAAGCTAAGCCTTGCTGTGGCACCTGCTTCTGTTCTAATGAATTATAGAAGACTCAATTAAAGAAATGAGGACCTGTAATACAGGTCTGAAGCCAATGAAGCAGTACTCCTGGCCCTGATCTTCAAGATCTGCTGTAACTAATGAAGCACACGGATAAGCTCTCATGGGAAATTACATTAGAGACATAACACCGCTTGATTACGATTATTCAAAAAAAAAAAAAAAAAAACTCCAGGTATAAATCACCTTGAGAGAGAACTGATACATTGGGTGTATCTTGCTGAGGTCATTCATGATGAAGTAGAGCAGAGAGGCTTGGGCAGCTGCTGGCCGATAGTGCTCTCTGGCCTCGTTGATTTTTACTTCAGTCACCCTGGCTTCCTGGACCTGTTGAGAAAATAAATAGCAGGCCATTGTTCAAACTAAATAGGGCTTCCAGAGAATCAAGCTGATCTTTCTGTGTGCGTAGTGTGTGTCTGTGTATGGGGTGGAGTGAATGGAAATAGGAAAAGTGGGAAGAAGTTGGAAAAGCCCTATATCAAGCCTGAATGGAAGGACAGTGTACACAATCTTGCTCTCACAGACTGAGCTGTCGGTTCTCATAGTTAGGAAATATGCCAGAATCTTAGCTCCATAGCTGATGAGATGATTTCCTCAAAATKCGAAAAAATATATATTGCTTTAAAATGAACTCCATGCCAAGCAGTGGAAGTCCATGGAAAGAAACAAAATAATTTTCTTTAAAAAAAAAAGTTTAATGAAATAGTTAATACATAAATTCACAAAGAAAATCTCTTTTAATGGAGTATTTTTATTTTCAGAAAATTTCTTATCACAGGTTAAAAATAAGAAGAGAGGGCTGGGGATGTGGCTCAAGCGGTAGCGCGCTCGCCTGGCATGCGTGYGGCCCGGGTTCGATCCTCAGCAYCACATACCAACAAAGATGTTGTGTCCGCCGAGAACTAAAAAATAAATATTAAAAATTCTCTCTCTCTCTCTCTCTCTCTCTCTCTCTCTCTCTCTCTTAAAAACAATAAGAAGAGAAACCTAAGCAACAGGAAGAGAGCTTTCTGTAAGAACATGTCACTTAAATACAAACCTCAATGCTCTCTGCCCTCAGACTCCAAAATAGAATCAACTACTGATAACTTGTGAAAGTCCACAAGAAAAAGCAATGATCCTTATTGAACATGTTCTCACAACAAGAAGAAGTGCTACCAAARGGGACAGTTAGAAGGCCTTTTCCAATGAAGTGAACACCTCCTAAATCCCAGAAGGATTGGCATCCTGAGAACGAAAGATGACTGAACAACTTAAAAGAGAAAGACAAATACTGCATATTCTCCCTCATTTCTGGAAGCTAAAAACAAAAACAAAAACAAAAAAAAMCTTATCTCATGAATAGTGGTGTTTAAAGTCTAGAAAGGGCTGGGAAGGCCSACAGAACAAGTATGTCCTTGTCCCAGAACAAGTAGATATAAAAGAAGCACATAATAAGGTCATTACCAAAAGAACAGGCATATGTGAAAAAGAACGAACTAGACTTCTAAAAATATGACAGTTATTTAAATTAAAAAAATGTACAGGTAAATATAAGAGGCTTGAGTTGAAAAGAAAGAAACACACTGGAAGAGAGACCTAAAGAAATTGTTACAAATGCAGCTCAGAAACAAAGGTAGAAAATATGTAAGTTTATGAGACTTGGAAGATAGAATGAGAAGATTCAGACAGTCCTAGTAGGAAGAAATAGAGAATAGAAAGAACGAAATAGAGACAATATTTGAAGTTTTTTTTTGTTGTTGTTCTTTTGTTTTTTTTTCAGTACAGGGGATTGAACCCAGGGGTGCTCAGTACATTGCCCAGGCTGGCCTCAAACTTCAGATCCTTTTGCCTCAGCCTCCTGAGTTGCATCATGATTTCTGGCTGGAAGTTACTTTGGGAGCTATATTTGGAGTTAAGAATTTTCGAAAATTGATAAAAGGCTACAGCGCTTATCTTGAAGAAGCATATCAATCATGAGTACAATGAATAAAAAAATAAATTCTGACTATGTGGTAAAATTCGGAAACATCAAAGAAGAAGGGAAACTATTAAAAGCAACTAAAAAAGACAAAGCTGAAAAGGAATAGCAATTAGACTGAAAGCAGATTCTCAGCAGCAACAAGACAACATTAGCTATATTATAAAACAATAACAGAAGTTGGGAGGGAATGATCAGAATTAAAGTACTCTCTAATCCTTATGCTGTTTGGCAAGAAGCAAATACATTGCTTAATTTTGGACTCTTTGAAAATATATTTTAAAAGTCACATATATTTTTACATATAAACAAAACAAGGTTAATCCATAAAGTGAAATAAAGTGAGTAGCTTTAAAATTAGGAAAGATCTATAGAAGTTACTATAGTCTCTGTAGCAAGAAACATGGAGATTCCTCAAAAAAACTAAAAATAGAATAACTAGATGATGCAGCAATCCTACTACTGGGTATGTATCCAAAGGAAATGAAATCACATCAAAGAGATATTTGCACACTTGAATTTATTGCATCGCTATTTACAATAGCTAAGCTATGGAGTCAACCAAAAAAAAATGAACAAAAGAAATAAAAATATTTCATGTGATACTTGGAAGACAGCAAGTGCTCAATAAATGTTCACTGATTTTTACACAGTGGATCCATCCTTTGACCTACTCGTATGTGAGCCAGATCTCTCCTGCCCAGAGCAGAGGACTTTCTGCCATCATTGCTTTACAAATTCTTTGGTCCCCTCTGGAGAGGTAGAGGTCATAGATAAATGGCAATAAAAGCTGAGGGGCACATCCTCTGCTGAGCCAGGGTTAGACTATACCCTCCTCTTTTGAGGGATTATCACTCCAATCTGAGTGAAGAGCTGTTATCCCACAGTGGGTCTGATCTGGTTTATCTGCTCTGACCATTACTTTTCAAGTTTTCTACTTTGTCTCTACTTGGAAAAGTCTTTCATATTTGGAGAAACCCCAGTAAGTCGGCAATAAGCATATTCATTCCAAGGTTCACTGTTCCCGGGCACTGTTAAGATGCRTGTGATATCTGAATCAGAATGAGTAATCACAACTGGTCTTCTGATCCAAGAGCAGGACTGGGATTGCAAAAGGGCCTATACAGGTTCGAGTGTCTGTTGGGAAAGGATGAGAGACTGGGCCTCTCTTCCTCATCAAGTCATCTTCTAGTTCTCTGCAAGGGGGAATAAAAACCTTCCAAATGTTGTGAAATGGATGAAGGAAACTATCTGCTCTAATTGTTTCCCAGGATGATAGAGAGTTTGAGAACTGAGTTTCCTGCCATGTCATTGAAGTTTTCTCATTAAAATCAGACTTGGGAGATTTTGCTAGTCCGGTGGGTTTTCTTAGGATGCAATCATGCCTGAACCTCAGAACTTGAATAGCAATGTGATTCCTTAGCTTCAGGGCCATTCCACAAACTATCTGAGGCATTCAGTTTGAAGTCTGATTCCCTGAACAGAAAGCCAGGACTGCACGGAGTTAAGTTTGTGGAGCCCAGATGTCAGAAGCATTTTCCAGAAAGTAGAAACTGTAACACAGAATGTGAGGTAGTCATTGCTTGGAAGAATGGTGGGAAGATGGAAATGCTATCTGTTACTCTTCTTTTTTTTTTCAAAAAGTAAGACTGAGGGCTGGGGATGTGGCTCAAGTGGTAGCACGCTCGCCTGGCATGCGTGCGGCCCGGGTTCGATTCTCAGCACCACATACCAACAAAGATGTTGTGTCCGCCGAGAACTAAAAAATAAATATTAAAAATTCTGTCTCTCTCTCTCTTTAAAAAAAAAGTAAGACTGAGGGATTGAGCAGAGAAAAATCATAGGAGGACCCCAAGGGGGGGMTGCTTCCGTGAACCATCTAGAATAAAGTTACCTTTCTCTCCACCTCAGCAGCAGTCTGCTTGGTGATCTCCAGATTCTCCACCAAAGCTGTTTCTCCCAAGAAGTTCCCAGATGCCGAGGAGAGGCGYGAGAGCAGATTGTCTTCTAATGTTTTGAGTGTGATTTTGAATCCATTTTGCTGTTTTGTGAGATCTGACTGCAAATAAGGTGGAAGAAAGAGTAAGGCAGAGATGCCCAAGGCATCCTATGCTAGGGAGAGGTCTGAATTAAAAAAAAACAAAAAATCGTTCTTGGAGCCAGAGTCCCTGCCCTTGGAGACTGTAAAGTGGAGGCCAAGTAGTGGGGTGCTTGAGACCGAAAGCAACAGGAGATGAGCAGATAAGTCAAAACCCAACAGTACCCTACAYTACTGTCCTCCATATCCACATGTGCAGATTCAACCCACCGTGGACCAAAAATATTTAAAAAAATTGTGTCTTTCGTGAACACATACAAGACTATTTTCTTGCCATTAGTTCCTAACCAATACGGTATGAAAACTACTTGTACAGCATTGACCTTGCATTAGGTATTATGAGTAACCTAGAGATGACATAAAAGTACAGGGAGGTGGCATGCAAATACCTTGCCATATTAGACCAGTGGCTTGAAACTCAACTGGTCTTGGAATCAAGAGGGATCCTGAAACTCATCCTCCACTCAGACAAAGGGAATGACTGTTCAAGGCATGAGACTTGGGCTGATTTTTCTCTTTCCAGTAGGGTTAATATCAGTCCCTATTTGCGGGATGTTTGTGCTATCCTTAGCACAGTGTTGATATACTCAGTGTCACTAAATGTAATTGATTGCTGCGAATAGAGGGAAAGGTCAAGTTTTAGTTCTCTAKCTTGTCCTCTTTATCACCACTTTACTGCCCCCAAATGAACAGCTCTCCTATGCTTTGCTTGGAAGAAACAAAACAAAACAGTAGAAACTCATCTTACCCAATTTAGACAAGATCATTGCCAGAGCCTTCTCCAAGGCTGGAGAGAGACTGGCACCCAAGTGAATYCCACCTCATTTTCCCCTTTCTGATGGTTAGGCTTCATATTCCAAGGGACTGGGCACCTTTTATTCCAGTTTTGGGAGCCAGGGAGTTAAGTTTAGGCAGCTCTAACTCCTTTGTCCTCACGCAGCCTGCAGCCTTTGGATCCATGGAAAGATCCAAAGGCTACATGTGGAGGCTTCAGCCGTGGCCACTCTGGTCTATCTCAGTCCTATCTCAAGACCAGAATTTGCTGCTCTCTTGGCTGGGAATGCTCTGTGTCAAGCAGCTTTCAAGTTGTTTAGGAATTTGTTCAAATGCCAGCTCCTCCTAGAACTCTTTTTGGTTACAACTAGCCAGCTAGCTTTCTAGTATCACCCTGTTTTATGTTCTTCAAAATTCTTATCCCTGGAGACTATCATGCAAAGTGAAATAAGCCAATTCCCCCCAAACCAAAGGTTGAATGTTTTCTGCTGATATGTGGAAGCTAACCCATAATAAAGAGATAGGGAGGGAGAAGAAGAGAAGTTCAGTAGATTAGATAAAGGAGAACCCAAGGAAGAGGGAATGGAAATAGGAAAGAAAGTGGACTAAATCTAACATGATTTCATTATTACCCTATGTGCATATATGATTACATGACCCGTGTGATTCTACATCAGGTACAACCAGACAAGTGAGAAGTTATACTCTATTTATGTATGATGTGTCAAAATGCAATTCGACTGTCAAATAAATAAACAAAAATAAATAAATAAGTAAATAAATAAATAAAATTAACATGGTTTTCCTATGAACACCTGTGAAAATACCTTAGAGAACCCCACCATCATGCCCACCCACAAGAATAGGGTCCGAATTAGAATAAGATATACCTCATGCTTGTACACTTTATCAAAATGGATTCTATTGTCATGTATAACTAAGAAGAACTAATAGAATTTAAAAAATAAATTCTATTATGAGCCTATACCAAAAAAAAATCCTTATCATTTGCTGAAATGATATCATTTCTTGGTTTACATTCTTATTTTGCATATACTTCTACTTGGCCATAAGTTCCATGTGGACAGGTGCATGGTTTTCTGTGGTCACTGCTCTATCTTCTGTACCTATAACCTTGACTGTTATGCAGTTGGTGCTCCATGGGAGTTCAATAAATAAATGATTGTAGAGGTAGAGTCCCAGGGAAGGCCTGAAATCAATCCTACGTGCACTGTAATTTTAAACCCATGTAACCTAACCTAAATGTGATTCAAGAAAAGAGAAAAAAGAGATATTCGCCATGGACTGAGTTGTCTTTCCCCTAAATTTATAAATTGAACTGTCAAAGCCCTGACTTCCTATGTGACTGTATAGGAGACAGTGTTTTTTAGGAAGGTGACTCAGGTTAAATGAGGTCCTAAGAACTGTAGTCCTGTTCTGTTGGGATTAGTACTCTTTKGGGGGAGATGCTGGAGAGCTTTTTCTTTCTCTCTCTACGCATGCACAAGAGGAGATGAGATGGGGGAGCACAGTGCACAGTGAGAAGGTGGCTGCCTACAAGCCAAGAGGGAGTCCTCACTGGAAATGACCATGGTGGCACCCTCATCTCAGGCTTCCAGCGTCCAGAACTGTGGAACAGTAGATGGCTTTGCTCAAGCTACCCAGTCTATGGTGTGTTGTTATGGCACCCAGAGCTGACTGAGGCACAACCCTAGCAGGGTCGAACCCACTTCTGTTACCACTGCAGATTTGATTCCACTTAGGCTGGACGTAGGCGTGGGGATGTATGGGATCAGAGTCCTGTGCCAGGCCCTGCTTTTGGATGTAGGAGTGTCCCTTTTCCTGCCTGTCCTCTGTTTTAACTGACTATAATCTCCTTTTCCTAACTTGGTGTTTCTGGGTGGCTCTGTGGGGTTGGGTTTCTTCCACCATATTGCAGAGTTCACTTTCTTGGTAGCAAGGAAAGCAGTCCCAAYCCCCGCTCCCAGAGTAGGGTGCACTGCAGAATCTAGACCAGAGCACTTTCCTCCTCCCTTCCTTGGTGAACACCCCACTCACCTTCAGCTGCTCCAGATCTGGCCTCTCCATGCTGACCACGGCGGCCAGCAGCTGGTCCTCCAGGCCATCTCTGGTCACAGTGAAGTTGATCAAGGTGGCCTGAGCCTGCAGCTCGGGCTGGTAGTGAGGATTGGCCAGCTTGGTGTGAAGGATGAGCCGGAACTTGGGATTGTATTCACACTCTTTGTCTCCAATTTTAATGAATCTGGAACATACAGGCTCATGTGAAGGTGGAGTGATTTCCTGTGAGATTTTTTTTTTTTTCCAAGATCATAGCCAACAATGTGGCTATATTCAGRTGTAATTTTCCTAGGCATGTCTAGCGTGCTCCCTTGGGTCCTTCTTTGCCGTAATTTAGGGTACAGGTTTGGAAGGGAACCAATTTTCCCTTGGCCACCACATTTGGTATGTGCACTGTGCAACTCTAGGGAGAGCCATTCTGATGGTGGTCAGTACAGTATATTATGGAAAAGCTCCAGCAGATGGCAGTAAAGTGTTTGGAGGAAGCAGCATCTTGTACTTTGCACAAAGGTGTTTTTAGGCTATGATAGGTCACACTTTTTTTTTTTTTTTCTCGTGGCTGACAAGAGAATGACTTTGATGGGTGAAAATAATTAAGCACATAAATGAGCATGGAAAAGCAGCTTAGGGCCTGAGCAGTGGGTGAGACTTTTGCTACAGTTGGATATGGTTTGTCCCCCAAAAGTTCACGGGCCAGAAGTTTGTTCCCCTGTGTTATGGTATTGATGTTAAGARGCAGGACYGAGTGGAAGGAGGTAATTAGGTCACAGGGGTGGGAAGGGATTAATGCTGCTTCTCTGAAGTGGGTCAGGTCTGGTGGGAGTGGATAAGTTCCAAAGAGAGTAGGTTACAAGATGAATGAGCCTGGCTCCTCCTCAGTGTCTTGCTTCCTGTTTTGCCAGAAGATCTCTTTGTCTTTTTCTCATGTCCTCCTGCCATAGTGCCATCCACCATATTTTGATGGAACCAGAAAGCTCTCACCAGAGGCCTAAAGGATGGAGCTGCCTGATCATGGACCTTTTTAGCCTCCAAATTGTTGAACAAACTTACTTTCTTTTTAAACTACTCAGCCTCAGGTATTTTGTTAAAGCAACAGAAAATGGACTAAGATCCTAAGTCAAGCATGCCTTCATGATAATTATCACTCCCTGTCTTAGTGAGGATGGCTTTTCTACTTCTTCTCATTTCCCTTGTGCATCATATCCTCTTTCTGCCCTATTCTTGCTAAGCCTGAATCCCGTAATGGCACCCAAGATGAAACTGAACTGTGTATGTGTGCGTGTGGGAGGGGATGCTGGAAATCACACCCAAGGGCTTGATTGATTGCATATTCTAGGCAAGTGCTCTACCACTGAACTGATGTGTCCAAGGCATATCAAATGACAGGAGTTGGGTTCTCAGAACCCAGATGTCTGACTTGGATCAAATGTTCATACTTACGTGTCAGTCTGCTTTTTGACCACTTTCCTTCCAAGATTCCTCCTAAACTGTACACTGTGGCCATCTAGAAGGAAGTCAACGGGTTGCTGACTGATGAAAGCAAAGTTCACGCCAAGAAGCCCTCTCTACCAAAGAAGGGCAGCTAAGCAGCCCTCTGCTGGGAGACAGAAAGGTGTGCTGGCTACAGGGAGCTCCTTGACAAGAGCAGAGGAGAAGAGATTMTAGCAAAGCAGACCTCTCCACATTTCCAACTGGGGTGGGGAACCAGCTCTTCACACAGGGGCAGCCACATGGCTTGAACCTTACCGTCCTTTCTTAATGACTTCTCTCCCCAGCAGAGGTCCCAGAACAGGATCGATGGATTCTTCCAGGTTTTCAATCAACACCACGTCTCCAGCTTCCAGGGCACGCTCGATGGTTTGCAAGTAGCTGGGGGGAGCGAGTCAGGCCGTGTGAGCCTGTGGCCAGGTGTGCACTCAGAGGCAATTTAATAAGATGACCGTGGCCTTCAAGGCATGGCAGTGCACTTGGAGGCACAGCTATTTGAAACGTCTTCAGTGGCCCCATTTTTCTCTATTTCAAGTGACAYTGATGTAATTTTGTATATTTTTAGAAATAGGGAGAAATTGCAAAATACGAAAAAGATTATGGAAATTCATCATAACTACATTAGCAATATGGCATTTACTGGATCTATCTGGACATTCAGTGATCCTTTGGTAACTGTGGGGTTCCAGACCCCTGTGGACACCAGAATCCACRGGTGCTCACGTCCCTTCTATAAAGTGATGTGATATTTGCATTTAACCTGGACACATCATTCTGTATACTTTCTACATACAATACCTAATACAGAGTAAATGCAATGTAAATCATTGTTACACTCTATTGTTTAAGGAATAATGACAAAGGAAAAAAGTCTATATATGTCCACTATAGGCACAGTGTTTTTCATATATTTCTGATGTGTGGTTGGTTGAATCTGTGGATTTCTGCCCTGCAGATACAGAGGGCCATATTGTTCAAATTTAGTTTTTATACTATTGAATTCATATGGCACCTTTACTTTAAAACCCAGTTTTCATAAATAACATATAGTTTAAACATTTCCCTGTGCTATTAAATATTCTCCCAAAGCAAATGTTGRTGACTGGATATTAGACTTTTATTTATATAACTTAACTTATTTATCAATCCATCAATGAATATCTAGGTTACTCTTAACTTTTCAGTGCTWTGTAGCATTTAATGAACACATAATAAATGAATTTCCCCAAATCAATTTATAAGTTTGATGTAATTCCAATTCAAACAGAACAAAAACATTTTGCATAACTTGAGAAAAGATTTTAAAGTCATCATAAAGGAATACCATAAGGCCAGTTAACAAAGTGATGAAGAAGAAAGGAGACTCATATTATCTAATACTAAAACTATTTTATATAACTTCAACAATACAGGTGTGTAAAAAAAGTCTCTCTCTTTTTGGATTGGGAATTGAACCCAAGGATGCTTTATCATTGAACTACTTCCCCAGCTTTTTTCTTTTTTTCTTTTGATATAGGGTCTTACTAAATTGCTGAGGGTCTCATTAAGTTGCTGAGTTTGATCTTGAACTTGTGACAATCCTGCCTCAGCCTCCTGAGTCACTGAGATTACAGGCACACATCACCATACCCAGTCAAAAGAACTCTTAAAAGACAAGTATTGAAGAGTTAGCAAGTTAGCAATATCTTTGGATGATAAATCATAGAAAGTATTATTTCTTTTCTCTTTTTCTTTTTTGCAGTACTGGAGATTGAAACCCAGGTCTMACACCTGATGGACAAGTGCTTCACCACACCACTGAGCTATATACATCCCAACCCTTTTAACTTTAATTAATTAAGTAATGTGCTGGGAATCGAACCCAGGACTTTGTGCATACTAGTTAGACAAGTGCTCTACCATGCAGCAACAATCATAGTCCACTTTCCTTTTATTAGTAATTACTTCTYGCTACCTTTTTCACAATTATAATGCATTACTTTTGTAATGAGAGATACTACAATTAATGTGACTGAATTTATAACTAAATAATTTAAAAGTGAGGTCAGTAAGCTAGTATAGTATGAGACACATAAAAAGAACAAAAATGCTGTTTAATACAATAATGATACAGTAAAATGGCATTTCCAATTAATCGAGAAAAGGATGGAAAATGTAATAGGTTACAYTGGGACAGCAGCTAACCACTTGGAAAATTAGTCTGCATCTCATTTAGGGAACTTAAAGTATGATTGGATTTCAGTGTAAAAAGAAAATTCACAGAAAACTAAAATATAATAAAATTTCTGGAGGACAAAAAAGACATTTTTCTAAGATGATCCACAGAAGAAATGGGTGATAAGTCTGAACAAATAAAAGCAAAATTAAATAAACAATAGTATGTCRAATCTCCCAAATAAAAAGCCTAGACAGGTTTTTCATTCACTTGACAAAAGAAGATTACACATTGTATGGATAATACAGCATTTGCATTCAAATAAAGTACAACAAATCTAAAAAACCATCCAACAGAAAAGTAGTCAATAGACATGAACGGAGAATTAATTGAACAAATATTTATTGAAGGCCAACAAAGTGTCAGGCAGTGTTTGTGGTAGTGGGGATGTAGTAATGAGCAATACCCCCCCCCCCAAAAAAAAAAAAAAACCAATTATACTTCTATCTAAAATGCATTCTGTTGACTAGAAAGGGATATTTTAACCAAAGTTTGGGAAGAAGATTAAGGTTAGATTATTCTGTGACTGAAGATGTAGATAAAAATATATCAGTCATTCCTGGGTGTTCATTTGCTCTGTTTTGCAATTATTATTTATAGTTCATGAGACTGAATCTAGGGACCCTCTACCCATGAACTACAACCCCAATACTTATTTTGGTCAGGGTCTTGTGAAGTTGCAGAGCCTGACCTCAAATTTTCTATCCTCCTGCTTCAGCCTCCTGAGTAACTGGGATTAAAGGTGTTTAACTGTTATTTTTAACATTACACATTTGGTGTAAACAATCCTGGGTGAACTAGACCTGTGGGAGGGCATGTTAGGGACACATGACCAGAGAAGCAAACCTCACCTCACTTGTGCTAGGTTGGATAAATCTCAGGTCTCTCAATGAGGATAACCTGGGTTTAAATATTGCCTCCATCACTTAAAAAAAACAAAACAACTATTTAATGGACTATCATATGTCAGAAAACAACATTTTAGTCAGCCAGCAATTGCCCATATGACAGTGGTTCCCTAAGGTTATGCCACCTAGTGACATCATACCTATCTCACTTTGTGTAAGGATGTTCTATGCCAAAAATCAATGAAATTGAACAAAAAAATCAACAAAACAAAAAAGTTGCTTCTTTGAAAACATAAATAAAAATGACAGATCGTTAGCCAAGCTAACAAAGAGAAAGAGWGAGAAAACTCAAATTACTAAAATTTATGATGAGAAWGRAAATATCACGATGGACACTATTGAAATACAAACAATAATCACAAACTGTTTTGAACATTTATACTCTAATAAAATAGAAAATCTTGCAGCTCAGGAGGCTGAGACAGAAGGATCACAAGTTCAAAGACAATCTCAGCAATGGTGAGGTGCTAAGCAACTCAGTGATAAAATACAAAATAGGGCCAGGGATGTGGCTCAGTGGTCGAGTGTCCCTCAATCCCCAGTACCAAGGGGGGAAAAAAAAAAAAGAAATGAAAAGAAAAAAGAAAAAAGAAAAAGAAAATCTTGAAGACTTTGACAAATTTTTAGAGACAAATGACTCACCAAAATTGAATCATGAGGACATAGAAAATTTAAACAGATCAATTTCAAGCAATGGAATTGAAGATGTCAYCAAAAGCCTACCAACAAAGAAAAGCCCAGGGCCAGAGGGAATCTCAGCTAAGTTCTACCAGACCTTCATAGAACTAACAACAATCCTTCTCAAATTATTCCATGAAATAGTAAAGGAAGGAACCTTTCCAAACTCATTCTATGAAGGTAGTATCACCCTGATACCAAAACCAGACAAAGACACATCAAGGAAAGAAAACTTCAGGCCAATATCTCTGATGAACACAGATGAAAAATTCTTTTGTTCCCAGTACTCTTTATTTACTTGTTCATTTTAGTTACACATGACAGTAGAATGTATATATTATACATACATGAAGTACAACTTCCCATTCTTCTGGTTATACACGATGTAAAAATTATATTGCTCATGTATTCATATATGAACACACCAAAGTTATGTCTGATTCATTCTACTAACTTTCCTATTCCCATCCCCCCACTTCCCTCCATTCCCTTTAGTCTAATCAAAGTACTTCAATTCTTCCCTACTCACCACCCTTATTGTGAATTAGCATTTGCATATCAGAGAGCACATTCAGTCAGCCTTTTTTTTTTTTTTGAGATTGGCTTATTTTACTTTGCATGATAGTCTCTAGTTCCATCCATTTACTGGCAAATGCCATAATATCATTTCTATTTATGGCTGAGTAACACTCCATTGTGTGTATATACCACATTTTCTTTATCCATTTATCTGCTGAAGGGCACCTAGTTTAGCTATTGTGAATTGAGCTGCTATAAACATTGATGTGGTTGAATCGCTTTAGTATGCTAATAGATGCAAAAATTCTTAATAAAATACTGGCAAATCACATACAAAAACATATTAAAAAGATCGTGCACCATGATTGCGTGGGGTTCACCCCAGAGATGCAAGGTTGGTTCAACATATGGAAATCAATAAACGTAATTCATCACATCAATAGACTTAAAGACAAGAATCACATGATTATCTCAATAGATGCAGATAAAGCATTTGACAAACTCTAACCAGAGCAATTAGACAGAAGAAAGAAATTTAGGTGAAACAAATAAGAAAAAAAGGACTCAAACTATTTGCTGAAGACATGATTCTATATTTAGAAGATCCAAAAACACTCCACCAAAAAGCTTCCAGAACTCATAAATGAATTCAGCAAAGTTGCAGGAGGTAAAATTAACACCCATAAATCATTTGTGTTCCTATATCAGTGATGTACCAACTGAAAGGGAAATCAGGAAAACGATCCCTTTATAAAATAAAATAAAATATTTGGGAACCAATCTAACAAAAAAGATGAAATATCTCTATAATGAAAACTACAGAACACTAAAGAAAGAAATTGAAAAAGGTCTCAGAAGATGGAAAGATCTCCCATGTTCTTAGATAGGCAGAATTAATATTGTCAAAATGGCCATACTACCAAATTCAAAGATGTACTTTATAGAGATAGAAAAAGCAGTTGTGAAATTCATTTGGAAAAATAAGCCAAAGCAATCCTTAGCAAGAAAAATAAAGCAGGAGGCATCACAATGCCAGAACTTAAATTACAGTAAATTATACTACATAGCTATAGTAACAAAAAAATGCATTGAAGACCCATGGTACAGAATAGAGAACATACAGACAAACCCACATAAATACAGTTATCTCATACTCGACAAATGCACCATAAACATACATTGGAGAAAAGATAGCTTCTTCAACAAATGATGCTGGGAAAACTGGAAATCCATGGCATTTGCTGGTAAATGGATGGAATTGGAGACTATCATGTTAAGTGAAATAAGCCAATCCCCCTTAAAACAAAGCCTGAATGTTCGCTCTGATATGTGGATGTTAACACACAATAAGGTGGTGGGGAAGAAGAGAATTTCATTGGATTACACAAGGGGGGAATGAAAGCAAGGGAGGGGAAATAGGAATAGAAAGAAGAGTGAATTGAACTCAACTTTCCTATGTTCATGGATGAGTACATGTCCAGTGTAATGCCACATTAGGCACAACCACAATAATGAGAAGTGATATCCCATGTATGTACAATATGTCAGAATACATTCTATTGTCGTGTGTATCTAAAAAGAACAATAACAAAAAAGAATGCTCTGTGATGTTCACACAATGATAAAACTGCATATCAAGGATACCTATCATCACGAATCCCTGTCATTAAATGACACGTGACTGTATTTTTCATTACGGGAAAATACACAAAATATAAAATTTAGTATCTGCACCACTTTAAGGGTACATTCACACCATTGTATAATAAGCACAAGTATCCATTCACAGAAAACTACTTTTTGTAAATTCTGTACCCACTCTAACTCCCTAGTKAGAGGTGGGGGAACTGGGAGGAGAACCAGGAGCAACCAGGAAGGAACTTGTGTGAGATCAGGAGAAGAGAGACAAGCTAGGGGAGGCCTAATGTCTGCTCCTGATAGTTCTTTTCTTCTTTAAAATTTTTTTTTGTTCTTTTCAGTTACACATGACAGCAGAATATATTTTGATGTGCCATACATACACACTTACATTTCTTTTTCCTGCATCCGTGGCAAAATGRTGACTTTTGTGCTCAGTTACTTACCCTTTCTGACCGATCTGGGTGACCCGGAGGTCTTCTCCATATTTGGTCTTGATCCACTTAATGCCTTGTAGCTGAGGGTCCACCATGAGTGGCCAGCGCTCACAGTTGATGAGGATGGTGGCATTCTCCATGGACATGCGGTCTGCCGGGAGGCCCTCATTCTGCCAGGCGGCCACATCGGCATCATCTGTCAGCATTCTCAGGGGATCCAGGGTTGGGGTGACCGGGATGGGAACCTGGTGGAAGTGAACACCTGTGTTCAGAATGGAGGAGCATTTTCTCAGTGGGGCGGGGGTGGACCCGGATCTCACTTTAAAAAGCAAGATCAAGGATCCCCCAAAGAGTGTGCATGGGGGTGTGATCATTTTTTGGAATCAGGTGTTTTGTTGAAGTCTTGATATTCTTTTTTTTTCTCTTGATAGATAAATAATAATAGAAAATAGCCCATTGCTCTTTGTTATATCCACCTAAACCAAATTTCTGCTAGAGACGGGTTATATTTTAATATAGAACCTCCTACATTTATTCTTCTACCACATCTCTCGGTTGCCAGTCTGAAACTTTCATCTATTATACCACCTTGCAAAGGGGTAGAAAGGCTTACTTTCCTGCCTGCCCCAAACATCCTAYTCCCAGGGTTGCTCGCAGGACCCTCTCTGCACATCTGCCTGCAGAGAGCATCCACCATCCCTGAGAACTCTCCCCCACGGCTTCTCCAGGGTACCATCAGGGATCCCAGACCCTTCCTTTTCTTATTGTAATTTTCCTACAAGCAATCTTTTTCATCGATGACTCATATACACTTTTTAAAAACTAGAAGTAAAATTCACACAACAGAAAACCAACCATTTTAAAGGTGTCRGATTCATTGGCATTTAGAACATTCGCAATGTTGTACAACCATCGGCTCTGTCTATATCCAAAACATTTTCATTGCTCCAAGAGGGAACCTCATACACATGAAATAATCACTCCTCATTTCCCTCTACTCTAAGCTCTTGGCAACTACTAATATGTTTTCTGTCTCCATGGATTTTCTGATTATGGATATTTAATATAAATGGAATCAGACAATATGTGACCTTTTGTGCCTGGCTATTTTTATTTAGTTGAAATGTTTTGGGGAGTCAGACCTAGTCCCTTTCAACTCCTCTGTCTCTCTCCTCTCTGGGCAGTGCTTTGCCCAGTTGCCCCCAGGAAACTCTCTTCAAACCATCTCCTGTCCCTTAACTTGATCTATTAAGGGCACAAATGGCCGGTGCTCTGCCATCCAACAAACTGTTAAAGAGAAATCAGCCCCTTCAAGGTTCTCATCTTGGGTTCGGATATAGTTTTAACATTTTTCTTTTAATCTTATTCACAGCGGCGTTATTTTGAGAAGGCATTAGTAGTTTTCAGCAGACTGTTATAGTTTGAATGTGCCCCTGAAATTCATGTGCTGAGAACTTTATTTGTGATGCCACAGATCTGGGAGGTGGGCCCTAATAAGAGGTGAAGAGGGATGGATGCTGTGCCCCTCTCCTAAGGGGATTTCTGTCCTTACTATGGAGTGGGTTAGTCATTGTGAGAATGGATTTATTGTTCAAGTAGTTTGGCCCCCTCTTGTTCTCTGGCTCTCATCCTCTCTTGTATTTTTGGCTCCCACTCTGGGATGATATAGCAAAAAAGCCCTCACCAGATATCAGAGCTCTTGGGCTTCAAGATTCATGAAGCATAAGCCAAAAAAAAAAAAAAAAAAAGAAAGAAAAGAAAATCTCTGCTCTTTATAAATTACCCGATCTCAGGTACTCTGTTACAGAAGCTGAAAACAGACTAAGGAGTCTATGGCACAAAAATGTTTAAGAATCCCGAACAAAGCCAGCAAAATCCTCACCAGCTGCTACAAAGCAGCTCATCTTCATTTGCTCAGTTAATGATGGTTCTTGCAACAGTTTCCTCTTTTCCACCAGTGTTCAAGATGAACAGAATAACAGTTTAATTAGTACTTTTAACATGACTAGTTAACACAACGAGTACTGCTATGTTATAATAGCTTAACTAGTACTTATACCATTCCAAGTACTATAATAGTCATTAAATCACTGTTTAGCAAATCATCACAGAAGAAGGATTTTATGAGATAATCTGGGAAATCAACCATTTATCCTCCCTCAAAGGCATCTGTTTTGTTCTGGGGAAAATGAATTTTGGAAGACATCCCTTACTGTACATTGTGAACTTTTTGTGCTGATGCTTCCCATAGCTGAATTTTATGAATTTAAGATCCTCTGTGAACATGTGGGTGGTATCCTGATCTTGGATGACTTCTGAGACTCCTATAGAATGGAGTGTAGGTCACACTGGATGCCCACTGAATATTTGTGAACTAGTGATAATGAGTGATGTGAATATGCCATGGGAATATTAGGAATTATTCTGACTATAGGTTTCAGGTGCAGCTTGTAATCCCCTTTGATCAGGAACTAGCACTTCCCCTACTTCATTAAGTTGGGTGGGAGAGGTGTAGAGGAAGGAGCCGGGAATAGATTCATCTACTTCTATAAAGACCACCTGTGCAGCCCCTGGCAMAATCACCTGAGCTGTGGTGGGCGTGTCTCAGAGTCCCAGGCACMAATTAGGCAGCTCTGAGGCCTGGTGACAAGGTGCAATGAGTAGCTGCTCCTATGACATTTGGCTCTGGAGCTGAAAGATCTGAGAAAAACAAAGGTTCTGTTTGGGTCTCCTGGGTTTTACTATTTTGAGGAGAGCCAAGAGAGAGCTTCTGGCCAGAGGACCCAAATTCCCATGAAGAGTTTCATTGAGAAGTGAGATGCTGTCCTTGGCTGGCCTAAAGGGTAGTGGGCCACAATGCAAGGCAAGGTAGAAGGACACAGACACCTATGTCCCAGGCCTGGTGCTAAAAGAGCGGTAGGAGTGAGTGTGCAAGAGAGCACCAGGAGGTTTGAGTTCCTGTGGTCGTGTGACCTCATTGGTACCCAGGCGTGGACACAGTCAGGAGAGATTCAGGAAGTACGTACTTTCAGCTGGCTCAGGTAGGGTCGCCAGGTCCCGTCCATGAGGCTCTGCCGGTATTTTTTGGTAAAGAAGCCAAGGTACGAAATGAAAGCTGTAATAAGCAAAATGTCTCCACACAACGTCCTTTCCTGCTGCTTGAAGTTCTGCACAGCTTCTGCCCACCTCACGTTTTCAGAAGCGAGTCCTCCAACCTACCATTTCAAAGGCCAGAGAGGAGAGAGGACGCTGTCACATGCCAGGCGACAACAGTGGATCTGACCACAGAGATCACACATTGCATGTTCAGAGCAGGAAGAGCCAGGACATCATTTGTTTGACCCTTTCAATCAGTGCGATTTGTCCTGATTTCAGCAAACACTCCCTTGTTCTGTGCTGTGCATTATGAGGACCACAGAAAGATGACGGTATTTTTTTTAATTGGTGCATTATAATTATATATAATAGTGGGATTCATTATGGTACGTTTCTACATGCACATGACATAATTTAGTCAATTTCATGAGCAGGTACTTCTCCTTTTCCWCTCCCCCTAACCCTGGTTACCATCCTTTACAGGATCCCTTATATTTTCATGAGATCCCTCTAAAAAATACTTTCTTCTCTCTAAGTTCCTCATAAGAGTGAGAATATATGACTCTTGACTTTCTGAGTTTGGTTTATGTTGCTTAACATGATGGCCTCTAGTTCCAATCATTTTCCCACAAATGACATAACTTTGTTCTTCTTTAARGGCTGAACAAAACTCCATCRTGCGTGCATACATACACACATACCCACCCATGCACGCGTGCGCACACAYGCACACATTAAATTTTCTTTACCCATTTGTCTACTGATGGGCACTTAGGCTGGTACCGTAACTTGGCTAGTGTGAATGGTACTGCTAAGAACATGGGTATGCATGATTGCTATGGTTTGCTGAAAAACAAGCTTTTAGGCTCTRCCTTTTTTCCCCTGTGGAGATGGACACCACCCACTTTACAGTTTTGTTGGGAAGATTAAATATKATTTATATGTTAATCACTTAGCACAATACCTGGTCTATAAGACCTATCAGAAAATTAGGTACCTCTCCCTTCCTCTCTAAATGCTGGCCTGCCTTCCATGACATTTTTCATTATACAATGAAAATAAATAAAACCAAATCTGTGTGCTATAAATAATTACCACGGGGTAAGTAAGACMCAAATGCTAGAAGTACTGTGAATACGGGGGTGTGTGTGCCGAGGACCACAGACTTTGGAACACACCCTGATTGACCTGGCCCACTTTGGGACAGCAGCCCTCTCTTTGGGAATAGAGCCATCTTTCCACCGAGGATTGCAAACTGTCTCATGGAGCTTCGTTCCTGTGTGAGGACTTGCCCTTCATTTTTTCCTTGAAAAAAGCCACCATACAATGTCAGAACTGGGAAGGACCTGAGGAATTCGMTAACTTCACCATCCCCATTCCATATTTAGATTAGACTAGAAGGGTGTTAAGTATTTCCCCACAATYGGCTGGTAGAGAAAGAGGTGGTTTCAGAACATGTGCCTCATGTTTCTCTAGCCTAGTGCCATCCTGCCTCCCATGAGAACCATCTCAGAAAATGCTCTAGCCAGGTGCAGAAAATTGTGCTGAGTTTTGGAAACCCATCAGGGAGCTGAATGGAAGGCAAGCCAGCTAGGAAATCTGGATGATTTCTCGCCCAATTGTGGAGGTGCTGTGTCTAAATCAAACCATTCAGTTGAATGGAGGGTCTCTAAATTATGTAGAGGCTGGTCCCACGAGCAAGCACAGACACACACTTGTGGTACAGCCTTTCTTTACTAATGCATGACTCAGTTTAATGGTAGCAATGACTCATTTCTCCCTAAATTAAAAAATATGGCTTTGTTATACAAATAAGTGGTGTCTGGAATAAATGTAAAGAAGAATCGATTTTATTTCCCTTCACTGGTAGGGATGGTGCTGCTAAGACTCTCAACTGAAGAGTAACCTCATTCAATGGACTGCTTTGCAAGATCTTAACTGATAAAGATGATGATAAAATCAAACAATGGGGAAGGGATTGAAAAAGGCCACAAATTCTTTGACATTCCTCATCAAGAGTTCGTGCCTATCTCCCTGTCCTTGAATCTGTGACTGCTTGGATAGATAGAAGATAGTGGAAGTGCCATTGTGCTGGGTTTTGTGTCCAGGCTTTAAGAGACTGAGACTGTCCACTTTCTGTCTCTGAGTCCTGGGTCACTATGGAAGATATCTGGCTAGCCTGCAGGAGAGATTGCATGGAGAGGCCCTGAGACTACACTCTTATTATCAAAACATAGCATAAATAAGATCTTTAGAGCTTGCCTATAAAACACATGCTTTCTGCACACATGCAAGCATAATTGCATCTTGCATGGGTATGTCAGATCCAGCATTTCCTTCCATTCAACCATCTCTATAAGCAAACTCTTGGCATGACCAGGGTGCATGTCCACACTTTTCTGAGGTCTCAGTCCCTACATCCCAGCACGTATTAATGTTTCCCCCCAAGATGGGCAGTGCTGAGCTGTGCCATCTATTTCACACCTTCACAACACTCCACAGAGCTGCTAATGTAACTGGAGCTCAGGCTGCCGAGGTGTGCACTCACCAGGCGGTTTGCAAGGGAGATGGTACCTGCGGTCATTTCAGCTTCTTGCTGACATCTGAGTTTGTCGGCCGTTGCTTTCTCAAACTTGGCAGTGAGCTTTGCCAGGTTTTCATTAAGATGCTGTTTAGGAAGGAGCACAAGGTCTGTCAGTAATCCCAGCTCAGGTCACCTCCAGTGCTTCTGAGATGAGGGTTCATGTGATTATAGGAGAAGTTGTTGGGTTGTGGGGAGCTTAAGGGCCTGGGAAAGCAGGGTAGGGAAGGAAAGGAGCCAACTAAATGATCTCAAGTGGGGTCCCAGGGAAGAAGTGGCTTTATACCGTAGTGAGGCTATGGAGTGGGAATGCAGAGATTTCCCATCCAAGGTGAGAGAGCTGAGCTTCCACACTCCAACACCTCAGTCATGGGGTAAAGGCTATAGGAGGTGAGACTGATGTGGGAGGTGGGGTGCATACATCCCACCTTTCTTTGTATTGGGGAAAATTGGGTTCTTGTGGTCTGTCAAAATGGTGCAAGCCCTGCTTCTAAAAGCACATTAAAGCTGGGGGAAACAAAAAGACACCAGGGCAGATCTTCCTGGATCACTGACTGTATCTTCTGTGTCTGGTCAGGACAGGGCTGTCTGAAATCTCAGTCCTCCTTTGACTAGAAGGCCTTAGACCCATAGGACAACTCTTATATCACCTCATTGCTTGTCTTCCATTATTGCAAAATATGGGAATATTTTTGAAAAAGTCATAGTTTTGATTTTTAAAAAAATTATTAAGAATMTAGAACTGGGGCTGGGGTTGTGGCTCAGCGGTAGAGTGCTCGCCTAGCATGTGCAAGGCCCTGGGTTCCATCCACAGCACCGCATAAAAATAAATGAACAAAATAAATGTATTGTGTACAAATAAAAAAATAAAAAATAATCTAGAACTGGAGCACAAAGCATTTGATGCCCTCAAGAATACATATTTGTATGTATAAAGACACACAAAAACACAGGAGATACCTACAAATGTGTCCCATGTGTGTGCAGTAACTGGGGTCCAGGCTGTTCTGTTAGCCATTACTAAAGTCACAAGAGAAATAAATACAAGGCCAAGTTTACACAGCCAAGTAGGTTTAAGAGCAGGTGGTGAGCCATCTGATTAATGATGGCAGACTGGCCACTCATTTCCCACCTCTCTTCCCCAGACTTCTCTAAAATGATTGCAAAGCAATTAAAAAAGCCATAAAGCCCTTAACAACAAGCAAAATGGTGAAGGCTGTTGGAGGATGAGGCTTTCCAAAAGATCTTTGGAGGGTCATGCTATGGAGGGAGTGCAGAGCAGGAGGAGGAARGAGGAAGCTGCAGCTCCCATATCTCACCAGAGGRGGAGCTGATGAGCCCACAGAGCCCCACTGTGAATTGGAGATTTGGGGAAGTCAGGTGTGATGGGGGAGAGAGGAGCTGGAAATAGGAGGGGTCATTGGGAGCCTATGGATCTACTTCATATCTTCCTCCCCRTGTCCAGCATTCAATGCCCCTCGGCACCTAGGCCACCAGGCAAGAGAGTCAACAGGGGCAGAGAAAAAGCACCATATTTTGGCATTTAGGGAGCATCCAACGTAACTTATTTGATCTGGAAAACAAATTATACCAGTGAGCTCTGCACTTACCTGCAGAACCAGAATCAGCATGTTTTTGTTTTTTGTTTTTTTGTCTTTCTAAATGTTTTTATTAGAATATTACAGCTGCACATAATAATTAGGCTCATTTTGACAAATCATACTGAATGGGATCTGATTTATTCCATTTCAGTCCCTGGTACCCCCCCTTCCCTTCTCCTGTTCCCTCCTCCTATTTCCTTCCTCTAATCCTACTGGTCTTCCTTTCACTTGTTTATTTATTTATTTTTGATTGCTGACTTACACATATACATAAAGGTGGAATTCACTGTATACATGCACATAGCATGATTTTTGTCAAGTGCATAGAATCAGCTTTTGAACACTATCTCTTATAAACATGAAAGAACAAGAAGATGTTAATGAAAACTTAGGTTAAGGTAAATAAGAGGAAAATGAGGGTCTGGAAAAAGAGAGATAATTCAGTAACAACAATAGCAATGTTAAAACCTTTTCCAACTATTTTATCAGAGATATGCAAGATATTTCACCCCTCAAATGAGAACAGGATGCTACCAAAACAACTTGTTGGCAATGACCAGTATTGCATTGTTAATTTAAAACATATTAAGTTCAAGGGAAGGGCTAAAAGAGGAATTTGAGGAAATCTCCTAGAAATGACAAAAAATCATACAGTGACAAAAAGAAGGGAAATAGAGGACCATGTCAGGAGGGTTGTCATCCAACCAATGTGCATTCCAGAAGAYGGGACGAAAAAGAAGACAGAAGGATGAGATCATACCAAGTGGTTTCCAGAGCTGAAGACAGTAAGTCTTAACATGCAAAGCACAATGAATACAAAGAGAATGACAGCTAAGCACAGCAGTGTAAAGTTTCAGATACTAAGAATAAAGAGAAGGTTGAAAGACTTCCAGAAAGGCGAGGGTGTGGGGGGGAACGGCATTCACAAAGGAATGGGACCCCAATGGTTCATTACACTTCTCACCAACAACAGAATAAATCACTCTGTGTTTCAAGGGGAAAAAATAGCAATTCGGAATTCAAAACTTGGCAAATTAATTGTTACTTCAGTTAAAAAAAAAAAGGCATTTCCAGACTTTTAACTATTCAGACAATTTACCTCTCTTAAGTTTTTTGAGAAAGTTTCTTGAGGATAAGCCACAGAATTAAAAAGGAAACCCACTTTATGCATCCTGAATATAAAATTCTGTAATGGGAATTATCCTTAAATTCTAACCACAAAGCATGCATGTGGCAGGTATTTATGTGTGTGATGTGTAAGCATGTATGTGTGTGTGTGGAGAGTGTGTGTGTGTGTCTATGAGTGTGAGTGTGTTTGTGTGTGTGACTGGAGAAGGCTGGAAATGGGAAGGAATTTTCAACAGCAAATGGGGAGGAATTTTCTTGACCTGAGTGAGCTTGCATATTAGAGGCAGGTGATGGCCTTTGTCCTCTGGTATTAGCAGGGACAGTTCACATTCTCTCGATGTTAATAGGCACATGAATACGCAAAGGATGGAGAAGAGGTGGTTAAAAGCAAGATTATATATATTTTTCCACTGGAAAATATTTTGGCAGAACAGAAGTGCCTCCCTAAGGTAGCCAAGGATTTTAAACATATTCTTATTGCTTTCACAGGTTGAGTGGGCTCATCATGTGAATGTCGGCTACTGAAAAGGTATAAACATTTTGAAAACATCCCCTTTGCACCAAATGTTCTTTTAGTTAAAATAGCTTGAGTAGAGAGTCTCAAAAATTCTCTTGTTATACTTTCCTGGGAGAGACTGAAGAACATGAAATTATTGGGAGGTCTTTTCCTCCCAGAAATCTGGAATGGGGCTATCACGGTATTTTACCCTTGGTGTTCTTTGAAGAGGAACTGCTATGGAGACTATCACCTGTTTTAAATAAATGTTCCATGAACATCTGGATTTACAAAGCAAGTATTTTAGAGATCKGCTGCTTTACCAAAACCTTTATTATTATTATTATTATTGCTGAGGACCAAGCTCACGGCCTCATACATGCTAGGAAAGTGCTCTACCACTGAGCTACATCCCCAGTCCCAAAGTATCTTTCAAAAATAGAGATTGGTGGCAAGGATCTTCGAATTAGAGACATTAGTCACAGGTTTTCATCTAGCAATCGATAAGCCCACGCCACATGAGGCATGCCGCACGTCTAGAATCCTGCTTTTGACAATTTGTAAGACCTGCTTTATCGTCATGACAAATGTGCAGCAAGCGTCTCATTTGCCTGGAATGCAGGTGTAGAAATTAAATATCCAGAAAATTGTTTGGATTGAAGTTGATTATGGGAGCGACTGAATTCTTGTGTGCAGTGGACATGCATGTGATAGACGGTGTGAGAGGCAAAGGAGGGCAGGAGAGGCAGAGGGGCAGCAGCGAGACCTCAGGCTGTTCCTGCTGCTCCCTCTGTCCTCGGCAGGTCTGGCTTCAAGCTTTACTTGTGCAATTTCCTTTAATTTTAACAACAATCCGGTGAAGCCAGTTCTATTATTGTGTCCATTTTACTTTAGGAAACTTTAATTTGGGCATTCTAAAGACTCCACCAGTAAATATCACAGCTTGGTTTGGAATTAAAGTCTATTGATGAACATATTTTTAATTGCTGTGCTATCCCCAGGATTCTAATGTCTATCTTTTACTTTTGAAGTTTTCATTTTCATGGTCAAGGTGAAATTCAAGGGGACTCCTCTCTAAAATAGATGTGAACCCAAGATTGCCATCCCCTTCCCCCAGTGCAGGGTGAAGCAGATAGGCTAGCGCTACTTATGTGATGTTTAAAATAGCTAATGACCCTTATAGTTTTATAGTTTTGGACAATGGAACACCCCCGAAATCACAGAATACTGCTCGCTTTTTTCTTTTTCCCCAGTACTAGGGATTGAATCCAGGGGTGCTCYACCATTGAGATACATCCTAAGGCCAGCTCTTATTATTTCTTTTATTTGGAGACCATGTGTCACTGAGTTTCCCAAGCTGGACTTGAACTTGTGATCCTCCTGCCACAGCCTCCTGAGCCACTGGGATTACAGGTGTGTGCCACCATGCCCAGCTATACTGCTTGCTTTTAAAAGCATCCATAAAACAATGCAGATAGCATAAGACATGTCCACACTGCTGAGTGTGAGACAGACACAGTTGGCCAGAAATGAAGACAATTAGGTACCAAAGGTGAAGCAAGGTGGCTAAAACCTACATTTCAAAGGGGAGGAGGAGGAGGAAAGAATCTTGAAGTCTTAACTTTTTGGTCTTAACKATCAAATGTGCAAAAAAATGTTAAATTCACTTTAACATTTAACATGGTTAATAAGAGAACAGTCAGCTCCGTGATAATACTGTGTGTCTATGATATATCTACCTATCTGTCACCCTTTCTTTCTTCAGAGAAAAAGGAAAAAAATCTTTTCAGACCAGAATTGTAAGCCAGTGGTTCAGGGGATTTGTCTTGTTTGGCCTAAAAGATGTTAGAAAAAGAAATATAAAAAGTTGCCTCTGTTGACAAATGAAATTTTGTTTAAAAAAAAGTGGTGGGGGTTGCTGGGTCGTGGCTCAGCGGTAGAGCGCTCGTCTAGCACGTGCGAGGCCCTGGGTTCGATCCTCAGCACCATTTAAAAATAAATAAACAAAATAAAGGTATTTTGTACAACTACAACTAAAAAAAACCAAATATTAAAAAAAGGGGGGGGTGTTTCCTATTTCTCCTTAGATATCATGTTAGGCACTGGGTCATGGCCAGAGAAGGGTGTTTGAGAGGCTACACTGTTTGCAATGGGGTGAAGAAGGGGCTGGGGTCCACTCACAGCAATCTTGGCTTTGATGGCCGCCAGCTTCTCCTGAGCAGCGGTGAGCTCCGAGGTGGCTTTGCTTAAAGCTTGGCGCTTGGGTTCCACATCACAGAACACCTCATAGAACCTCACGATGTTGATGACCCAAGAGCAGAGGCCCGCAGCTGCGTAGGACTTGGTGGCCACGAACTCGGGATTGAACTCAGGGTCTTGCAGATATGGTCTGATGGCTTTGAGGCAATTCTCGTGAATGTTCTCCTTRTCAAAGTGGATCAGGGAATCCAGGAAGCTGTCCACTTTGGTCATGGTGACCTTAGCAGCCTTCCAGCTCCGGTCCTTGGGCACCTTGCCCCCCGGGGCCATGAGTACCATCACTGCGGCACTGACGTTGCTGACAGCTGGAGGTGGGGAGCCAAAGGACTTCAGCTCTGTCAGGTTGGTCTGAGAAAAGAGAAGGAGGYCATTAGAGGGAAAACGAATGAGTTTTCTTTGTCCTCTCGGCCACTAATGGAGTTAGGCTGGGGAGCAATCCATCTGAATGGGCTGCTTTGAAGCCTGCAGMAGCCCTCTGAATTTTAAATATCATGACTCATCAAAAGGAAACCAAAGCTACTCCCCAGCGACTTCAGACTTCCCTGAATGGTGAGACGGGACTCAGCTATGTTCTTTCAATGCTTTAACTGACTCTCAGCCCATTAGAAACACACAATTATTTCACATTCAGCTGAAAAACTATAAGGATGCCAACATACTCTGAAATATGCAGCATGACATGAATAAAAGATAAGGTTATTATAAATTAATTTCCACCCCGGATGGAAGAGAATAGCACTGAAACTCAACTAATTTTTTTTTCTTTAATTAAACTGCTTTGTTCCATGAGCTCGTTCTAACTACTCTTGACTGTCCTGATAGCAAAGTGGCATTTTTTTTTTCTGCCAAGAAATAATTCAGACAGAAAGCCAGGCACGGCTCCTGAGTCAGCTGCCCCTGCCCGGTCGCAGGTTTGTCCTTTGTTCCAAGTCTCACTTGCTCTAGAGAGATGTGGCTAAAAGGACTGACCTTGGCAAATCACTTAAACTTTCCGGGACTTGATGCCCTCATGTGTAAATTGGGGTCAGGGGCACCCACTAATTCATGTATAAAATTGTGTTCTAAATGCTCATGAAGTTGATGTGAGACTCTATGTGATATTCCACGGGAAGCCCAGAATGAAACCACTTGCTTATGGGGGAAGATCTTGATTTCAAAGATGAAAGCCTTTTCCAAATTTACTCAAGGTGCACTTGAGCCTGGAAATCCACCAGTGAAGGGGACTATTTCTAACTCCTAATGGAAAGACTGAGGAAGATGCTCCTTTTGTTCCTGAACTATTTTCACATGTGGTTATGACTCCCCAGCAGGGGCAGAAATGAAGGATGGCATAGGTGTGTGAAGGATGCACACCTGTAATGGTAGCCTCCATGGAGGTGAGAGAGGGCAAAGGGAGAAAATAGGAACAGACAGAAATAAGAAATGGCATCATTTAAAAATTAATGCTTTGGGCATGMTGGTGCATGCTTATAACCCCAGTGGCTTGGGAGGCTGAAGCAGGAGGATSGTGAGTTCAAAGCCAGCCTCAGCAACTTAATGAGACCCTGTTGGAAGGAAGGAAGGAAGGAAGGAAGGAAGGAAGGAAGGAAGGAAGGAAGGAAGGAAGGAAGGAAGGAAGGGCTGGGGATATAGCTCCATGGTTGAGTGCCCCTGGGTTCAATCCCAAGTACAAAAACCAACAACAAACAAAAAACCCTAGGAAATGATCTGAACATGGATTCTCAAGACAATAACAATGGGGCAGGCAGCAATGGTACTACTAACAGAAGCCCAAGGTTGGCAGAGACATTTCTCAAGAGGCCACTATCAAATGTGCAAACGTTGGGCAGCCTTGATTCCACTCCTGTCCTAGAGCTATTACTTTAGCTGTGGCCTTGACTGCTTYTTTTCCAGGTACCTGCCTTATTAATTTGTCCTTCCCCCAAGTTTTTCTCAAACTTCTCAGGATTGGTCCACATCACCTTCCTTAACACCAACTGATACCTTCTGCCTTCTACCACTGGTCCTCACCAGCTGCCCGGCCTCGGGGCTCCTCCATGCTGTGCTCCACATTTTTCTTTTTTTATTCCACAGCCTCTGTCATGCTGTATCCCTTCGTGTAAATTACCTCTTCCTTATGCTGATGGTGTCTTGCCTCTGCTAGAATATGAGCATCCTAGAGACACAGCTCTTCTTTTTTTTTTTCCTGCCTAGTCCACTAAAGGCAGTMCATAAATCTTCATTGAGTGAATAAATAAATAAACAAATGTACATCCAGAGTCATTCACAGGACAAAAATTTAATAAGTTCCCGGTACTGTTTTATGGGATGAAGATACTTAGAACACAAGAAAGGAAAAGTCCTTTTACTTATTCAGCTGGGGGAGATGGTCAAACAAAGAGATAATCTTTGATAGTTTTTTGACAGTGAGAAGATAAACAAACCAGGGCTAATGCATAGAGACTACTTGGAGGGTGATAATACCATGTTAGCTACGAAGGTAGGTCTGCAGAGGCCTCTTGAAGAAACTGACTTTACAGCTGGGAGCTAAAAGATAGGAGCAAAGCAGTTCTAGAGAGATCTGCAGGACTGTTGCAGGCTGCTGAGTCAGCAATGGAGAGGCCAGAGGCAAGAAGGCACTGGGCCATGATGTAGGGGTCAGAGGAGCCAGGAGATTGGTGGAGATGAAACTGAAGGCACAATCAGGGCCAGACCCTGGGGACTGCAGGCACCATGGGGAAGAGTTTATTCTAATTTCAGCAGGCAGCCACTTGGAGGCCTTAGACAGCAAATGAAATTATCTGCTTTATGCTTTAAGAGGGTCACAAGAGAAAATTACAACATATCRAGCTTTGCAGATCTTTATTGGCTTTGGTTTATGATTCTAGATTCTGGCAGCAATTCGAACAAAAACAGGTCAGAATGCTCCCTGACTGCACCAGTGGGTTATGTTTACAGCCAGAGAAAAGGAGGTGACCTACAGAAAGCAGAAAGAAGTGAGGTACAGAGATGGYGCCACAGGTTACAGCTTGACCTTGGCCTTATTGGAACCTGCTTTGAACAGTGGGTCCTTGGTTGGCTGAAACTCTGCTGGTGGGATGGGTTAAGACGTGGTCATTCATGACGAGAGGAGGTTGTAGACTCTCTTCACTTCAAGATAGGCTACGGTTCACTCTGTATGGAGAAACCTTTAGGCCAAATTTAAAATATGTTCAGAGGCATATTTTAATGAACAATTAATAACTTATGAATGTTATTAATTATTTTTTATAAAGTGTGATTTTGAAATAAGCAATGCACTTTTCTCTCTTACAGGTACATAATTGGTTGGGCCAACTTCCTAAAGGTCAAACTTAATTCAGTTTAACCAGAGTGTGTTGCAGTGTGAGGGACAGGGCTGGGGTGTACCCGCACTGTCAAGGGAAGCTGCTTTAGTCATTTACAAAGGAGACTGAAGAGGGCTTGGTCCAGGTTTTTCCCCACGTGATGCACGTGATGAAAAATGATTGGAACTGGAACCCATTTGGGGTAGTATAATTAGAGCTTACTGACAGGCTCAACAAGAAGTGAAAAAAATTCTTCAGTAGGATTTTTTTTAAAGTCCGTATTCCTTCAGATGGATGAACCCAATTTATGCAAAACAAATCGAATCTCAGGAAACCTAGGTCATTTCCAAAAATTTACCTCATGCAGGATGYTTTGATGAATGTGATTCTATATAGATCTGTGTGAAAAATCTTAGAGTCATTTTTTTGAAGGATAATAATATTCCTGGAAGTGGATTGGTTGGGTCCAAATGCAGAAACATTTTTGGCATTCCTTGTGTATACCATCAGGTTATTTCCCAGAAATTTCAATGACAAGGATCCGTGCTCAAGAGAGCCTGACACATGCCCATTCTTTTCAATATTTAATTTGATAAGTTGAAAATGATATCATGACATTGGTTTAAATAATTTRCATATCTATATAGTCATATACACACACCCAAACACACATACATATCCCTGTTTATGTTAACCTTCTTTTTCATGCAAAGCATCTTGAACTTTTTAATGTTATTAATTATTTTTATAAAGTATGATTTTAGATATGCAATGCAGTTTCTCTCTTACAGGTACATAATTGACTCAACTTCCTATTGTTTCACATTTAATRGTTGAATTAAAGGATATTAACTTTTAATGATGATATTAGAGACAAAAACCAAAAATCCAAACTGGACTTCAATTAGATTTGTATTTGACTTATGAATAAATTGGRGGAAATAGTGGCATCCTTATGAAATTGAATCTTTCAGTATACAGACTTGGCATATATTTATTCACATTTTTTTTTAATTCACTAAGGATGTGCAGTTTTCTTCACAGTTTCAACAGATTTCCTTACACTTATTTGGACCCTGTGTTTTGGTTGTTACTTTGAAAATACATTTTCCAAATGGCTTTTGTGGATATTACGGAAGCTATTACATTTTGTAATCTCTTTTGTAATAAGCCCTTAACCTTTCACATTTATTTACTATATTTTATAACGTGTATGAAGAATAAGACATTTATCTGCTATGGCKTAAGATTCATATGATTAATATTTTTCATTTATTATTGCATTGTTTARGAATCTAGGATAGATTTTTTTTTAGTAACAGTAGAGAGGGGGCAACCACAGTGTCTTTTCTATGTCAATGGGAGTGTCTCTAGTGGCCTACTATTAAATAGGATGTTTTGCCCTTGGATTGGGATTGATTGCCTTCTGTTAGCAAAAAAAAAAAAAAAAAAAAAAAAATCTAATTATCCTTTTATCCCTACTTTACTAAGAGCTTTAATAAGCAGTGAATATTGAACTGTGTTAAATACCGTTTTGACATTTCTCGGACTAAAAAGCTTTTCTCCCTTGCCGTATACTGGATAAACCTTTCTGGTTGCTGGCATATGGGTGTTTGAACACATTGCCGGAGTTGACGGACTGGTATTTTTTATGCACATAACTTATATTGTCATTCATAAGTTAATCTGAGACTGTGTCTGTCACTTTTAGTATTGAGCTGATCACCTTAAGGAGAACCTGAGAAGTTCTTCAGGGAAGAAGTTTGTCTATTATCTTAGCATTCCCCAAATGAATAGATTATAAAATCTATGTTTATGTTAACTTGTTAGGTTAAAAGACAAAGAACAGACTGGGAGAAAATATCAATATATATATATATATATACACACACACACTACACACACACACACACACACACACACCAAGGAATTAATAGGAAACAAATGTAAAGAATAACTGTAAATCAATAGCAAGAAGAGAAACAATCTCAAAAGRAATGGGCAAAGAACCTGAACAAYTGATGAACCAAAGAAGGTCGAAAT